TCGTCGGATACAGTGAAGGAACTCTTACTACGGCTGAACGTCACTACCATCTCCACTCGGGAAAGTTAGAATTCCTTGCTCTCAAATGGGCCATCACAGATTATTTTCGAGTCTAACTATACCGCGCACACAATATCACGGTTTATACGGATAATAATTCGTTGACCTACATCCTCTCGTCAGCAAGACTGGAAACACCTCGACATGGATGGCTAGTCAACCTCGCTTACTACAGATTTGATGGAAAATACAACGGTGGGGCAAATGGATTATACAGAATGCCACTGAATACTGAGCGGTACATAAATCAGTGTACAGAAGCTAAGTACTAACATCTGTCACGCAAACATTTAAAATTGCAACTGTCCTATCAGAAATATCAAAAACTTTTTAATAAAAAAAATGAACTGGTCTTTGAAAATGAAAAAAAGTAGTTCCGTTTTGATTGACCAATCAGATTCATGTAAGGAGATATCGTAGTAGATTATGAAATTTATCACACAAGCTATATCTACTGAATGTATTATTGGGTGATAAAGTAAAATAGTAAATGGCTCTAACTCAGAAAGTGAAAGTGTGTATGGCTTCACTCCTTTACACTTCTCTAATCAAACCCACGAATTTGTACCACAAAACCACAATGGGCCTCAACATGAAAATAGTCAAATTGGAAATGACACTAATTGTGATGAAATTGCATAAAGTCCGAGTGAAAATATTAATCTAAACATTCAAATCTCCCCGGAACGCACATCTCGTGCAGGTAGGTTGAGATCAGACGCCCACCTACCAGATTGACTTACGATGGACTGGGACAAGGTAGCACTGTACCTATACCCGTGTCTCTTGTTCCGATCTTATGAATTTCGTATTACACTTTTAACCGTCCAGTGTTTAATCCACACACACCATTGTGTTTCGTGCCAAATTATATGATGTGCGAAATGAACCGTTTTTAATCTGGTCATTTATGTGTACTGTGATATGTCTATATAACCATTAGTGAATAATGAGATCAGTGCCTAATAGATTACTTTAGTTTAATTTCAGACTGTAAAGTTTATGATTAGCTACAATGAGATGAGATGAAAGTGATTGCTAGATAAATATAAAATCGTGTGTCACAATATGTGATTTCTAATGTGAAAGTTAATATAGCAAGCTAAGCGTATGTGAAGATATCACCATTATAATATAAGTGCACACATTTGAAATATTAATAGTGATTCTTTCTCTAATACATGTTTTTATATCTGAAGATGCCAAAATATACGGCGGAAAATCTAGATGAACTTTCTCGGACAATGCAGGGATCGAACACCCGATCTCCAGGCTAGCGAGCCAGCCTCCTACCTACTTAGCCACTGTGACCCCATAATTTGGACACGTGCGCCGTTTTATATAATTCGGTAACTGTAACAAAACAATGAACTAAAATGTATACAATCTAGTAAATACAGTGACGTTGATAGATTCAGTGATGCTCTTGGCCAAAATCTTGCTTGTATGTTCCATAGACCTACAGTACTCAAAATGGAAGGGGTTTAAATATTTCAAAATAGATAAAATAAAAAAGATAAGTAGGACAACTTGTAAAAGCGAAGTTAACAGTGATTATTTTAAAAAAATAACTTTAATTCAATTTCATTCTTTGAGTGGATAGCCACTGAACTTTAGACTACCATTATCGTACAACTGGATGATAGAAAATATCCAGAATGTAGTAGAAATATCTTATGACTCTTTTGGTCTGGAGCCAAGAAAATGTCGAGTTTGGCCATGACTCCAAAACGATAAAGAAAGACTGGCCATTGAAAAGTTACATAAAATTGTTTGCACAATGTCCACAACTAAAATTATCAAAAGATAGTCATTGCTAATTAATTGTTTAAATAGTTTAAAATATTAAAATAAATAAAATAGGATTATCGAGGATGATCATATCATCCGGTATCTGGGTTCCTTTCTGTTCTGTACCGTTACTGCTGGTGGACGTGTTGGGAACTGAATCAACACTTATATACAGATGGTTCTCAAGAATGATCATATCGTCCGGTTTCCTATCTGTATCGTTATTACTGACGTTAAATGTGAACGTTTTGCATCACCTCCAACATTACTGGGTTCGTCAGGATGACAGTTCTCCTAACCAGAGTATCCATGTCGTCTAACAGGTGGTTTGTATACTCTTTATTCTTTCTCCTTTTAGTAAACTAAAAACAGAGATACGAGTTCAATAGATTCGTTAAACGAAATCTGAAGCTATACAAGACATTTAACAGTTTACCTGTCAGACATTTCGCCCAAAGAACATAATAATTGTTATACGATTTCTGAACGTTCACGATTGCGAAGTATTTTACTCTGTTTCTAATTTTGATTGCGTATCTGTCGTTGGTTTAAAATGATAGGGAAAGCAGTGTGCATTAAAGGGACAAATCATTAATCTCTAGAAAGTGTTTGCCAGAATTATTCACTCGTCTTGCCCTTTACAGCATTTGGTCGACATATGTGGTACGGTGGCTTACGCGGACAGGAGAATGCACATAGAGAAACGTGACATACAAATATAAATTGTCTTTTAACGGCGAACTTAGGGTCGCAACCCAAGTAAAAGTATAATCTGCACTTTTATAGTAGAGAGAGAGAGAGGGGGGGGGGGAGAGAGAGAGAGAGAGATGGGGTTTAACGTACACTCGACACAAACTAGGTTATTTCGGGACTAACGTATGGTTCGATTTTATTTCAATAATTCGCTCGCTTGTTTAGAAGTGGGAGGAAACAAGAGGACCCGGGGAAAACTTTTATAGTAAATCCTGGATACCGCATCGGGATGTTCCAGCTATCTCTTGTAGGAACTTCATGCAACTTTGGTATCCATTACAGGAACGGCAAATCAGCATCTTTAACTCCAGAAATAATGACAAGAGATTATGACTTTGTATAGAGAATGGCATGGTATTATATACATTTGTATAGACAATGTCATGGTGGTTATATACTGGTATAATCCGCTGGATCTCCTTCATTAACTTGACTTTATTATGACAAAGGGAGAGGAGAGGCTGCCCTCTCTTCTCAAGACAACAAATTTTAACATCGTGATTATTTTTTAAGGTTACCTTTTTACATAAAAGACCATTTTTATGTTTTTTTTATAAGACCGTTTGTATGTTTTTACCCTGTTTTAATAGAGGGTCTGGCAAAAGACAACGTATAGTCGTTCGGTGGGACGAAAAACCGAGGTCTCGTGTAAAATCCGCGTGCACGTAAAAGATCCCTTGGCAGTTGGCATTCGATATAGGAGTAGGCCTTAGGGCCGTTGTCCGGACATCACACTATATGCTCATCTTCATTATCCCATTCAGAGCAGAACACTAGTACGTTAAACACCATTTCAATTCATTTTTGTTTTTACTACTGCATCATATGTTAATAATCTTAATTAATCAACCTGTCTATAATATCATTTGTTACATTTGTAATAAACAACAAAAACACCAACACTTGGGTTGAGTATTATCCCATTAGACAACAGATGTTGGTTAAGAGAAAACCTTTGGGGGGTGGGGGTGGGATATTTCCGTTTCCGATTTTTCATGGTAGCTACTGTGGCTGAGGTGGGACTGTATTGTAATAACGGTGAGACTAACAGTCGAGCGCAAAATCTTTTTTTAACGCCCACCGAATATAAAGATGGTTATTTCTGGACCAGCACGCGATGTACCCCCTTTTCAACTATTGGCTGACACACAGACAATCTAATGAGTTTAAGCAGGACAATATAGCTATCAACATACGGGGGGTCACGGTGGCTAAGTGGGTAAGACACTGGCTCGCTAGTCTCGAGGTCGGATGTTCGATCCCTGCATTGGCCGAGAAAGTTCATCCAGATTTTCCGCCGTGGTTCCACCTTGTCAGTGATGCAGGACGGGGGGGTCTGACAAGGACAGCTGTCTAGTTGTTCTGATGGGACTTGAAACCAAAGATCACTTGACAGTAGGAATTCGATATACGAGCAGGTCGTAGTGCCGCTCTCCGGGTAAAATTTCCCTCATGGTTCATAGAGACACAGGGTCAAAACAACATCGTTTGACGCAATGACAAACAAGATGATCCATAACATAGATGTTCGACCATTTCTTAGACACTAAACATCCTTAATGTCAAAAGAACCATGGCCAATGGGATTTGACAGAAGAAGAGTTGGCATTGTCCGAGCAATGGATATCCAACCCCACCCCCACAGCGTTAAAGGCGTCTCCATATAACATGCGACAGTTTAAACATGATTGATCTATTTTGTTGATTGTATCATTCTCATCCGTCCATTCTTTTCCTTGGTTCACCTTGCTATTTCTTTACGTTGACGTAGTAAACATGGAGTAAATCATTAGATTGAAAAAAAAAAATCTTTAGAGCGCACCAAGCCTGTATTTTACTAAGTATTGTCAAAGTTTATTAACCAGCTTTAGAACGGAATGGTAACTTGGTATCGATTTTGCCGTGCGACCTATTTACTGATTGATTACAAGGCATTTGTCTAGCCATTTGGGTGACATTGGGTTGCCAATGTGAGTGATCTCCTGTCAACAAGGTCCCCGGTGATGAAGCTTTTTTTTCATTCGTGGGGAGTAGGTGGGGATGGTCGAATGGTTAGCACGTGCGCGCTGTATCATAAGATCTGTCATTGTGTCAACTGGAGTGGTTTCGATTCCCCAGTTGTACGTGACTAGGATTAGGGTCGCCTGTCCAACCTCGTGGGTTTTCTCCTTTCTCAGGGTCCTCCGGTTTCCCCCCACTGCTAAAGACCCCTACTCGCAAGCGAAGTATTGAAATAAAATTGAACCATATGTTAATCCCGAAATGACCTAGTTTGTGTCGAATGGACGTTAAACCCCATTCCTCTCTCTATCTCTCTGTTCTCATTCGACAACTGCCGACAATATGTTTTGGTGCTCCACACTTTGCAGGCTCCAATTGTAAACAATGATACGATGACCAATTCAGATAATTTATTCAAGAAACCCCAGGAGAAAAGACACGATAAAAAAGTACACATTTATATCAAATAAACAGGATAAATTCGGCAAACCATATTCAATAATTTATATAGGCGACACTTTAAATTAAATCATGCTCGGTCTTTCATTTTACACAAGAGCAGTATGCACACGGTAGGATACGCTTTCACGTACACCTCGTATTACATGGGAGTTTTTGCACGTGGCGACTCTTGTTGATGTCGTTACTTTGTATTTTGACTTCTAGACCGGATCATTAGATTGTACATCACTTTTATCAATTAAGGTAATTTTAATAAACGGAGGTTAATAAATTATCCATCAAATTAAACCAATCTCGATTTCTTCTTCCAAACAAAGAAAATAATTCTTACGTCTTTGATCAATTGAATAAGCTAATAAAATACACAACCATATAAGGTCAATTTAACAAACACAGTTAATCATACACCGAAATAAAACAAATATATTAAACAATTAATGTTAAATTTAATAAAAGTAAATCTTATAATATACACACACATATAAGTTCAATTCAACAAACCCAATTAAATAATTTGCACATTTAGTTAAAATTAAACCAATCAGAATAAAAATAGGTAATATAGAAAGGAGAAAAGGAAAATAAATCGCAGAAACAAAAAATGAAATTGATGGATACAATGTTTTATCAGCATTCTGTACTTTAGGCATTCAATCTAAAAATAGAAGAATTATTTTGATTTATGCCATAAACTGGAATATTAAAATCTGACCCGTGAACATATATTAATTTTTGTTATCCTGTTTCGTTTCTGTCGATTCAAGGATCTTCTGTCACAGAATCGATTGTCCAAGTTCAATTTATTCCAATTAGGCCATTTACAGTAACGAAATGAAATTTTGTTTAATTTCTTACCTTTCAGCACCCAGTGTGCTATGAGAACGGCTCACTCTTACATTGAACTTTCCATGTGTACACGCGACCCTGGATTTTCGAGGATTTTCCAGAAACCGACAGTATCGGGTATGTCAATGTTAAACATTCATAAATTCTATCGTCCATACCAACAGATATATTTTAGATTTTATAAAAATGACAAATGAACTTGATTAGAGATCGATAATTCCAAAACACGATGTATAATAGAATAGTGGTTGGCGTACGGGTAATTCTTTCATTTCAAGAGGCCTTGTTTAAACAATTAATATCTGATCAATCCTGGATTGTTTTTGATTTGTTTGAGTCACTCTTAAGTATTTTTTTGGGACCAAATTTCAATTTCGTTATTCTTCTTTCTCCCCATACATTTGTCACCTCTAATTCTATATACGGTATCAATAATAACGTTCCACTTTATGCATTAACATTGTTGATTAATATATTACATAGTCATTGCTTCAGTAAAACTAAAGCAATTAAAATGAAAATGAGTGTTTATGAAAAATATAAACATTCCTGGATTCAGGTAGAAATGTTTTAAGATATATAGTGTGGTATGACATGTCATCAAAACAGCCCCCGTAGGATTTGTATGCTAAAATTGATTTTTTTGTTGTTTTGGGTTGATGTTGGATCAATCTATTCAAAAATGTTGGGGTTCAAATTTTCCGACCCCTTAAACCCTCTGGGAGGGTCATTTTTGAAATAGAGACCCCTCTGAACGAGAACATGGCTATCTCCGCCTATAATGGTTGGATTTTCAGGAACTGAAGTCTATTATCGTGTTTTTTCATCATTCCGATCCCATCTATGATACACTTAAAGCGATTGGAAGTAGTTTTCATTGATTTCCGTTGGTGGGGAATACCAATTTCCGGTGTCAAACTCGGATTGATTTCAGCCAATAATCTTTGGATTTTCATGATCTGAAGTTCATTCTGTTTTTTTTTCATCATGCCGACCCCATCTATGATACACTTAAAACGAATGCAAGTAGTTTTCATTGACTTCCGGTGGTGGGGAATACAAATTTCCGGTGTAAAACTCGGATTGATTTCAGTCAATAATCTTTGGATTTTCATGATCTGAAGTTCATTCTGGTTTTTTTTTCATCATGCAGACCCGATCTATGATACACTTAAAGCGAATTGAAGTAGTTTCCATTGACTTCCGGTAGGAAATATCAATTTCCGGTGTCAAACTCGGATTGATTTCAGCCGATAATCTTAGGATTTTCATGATCTGAAGTTCATTCTGGGTGTTTTTCTTCATCATGCCGACGCCGTGTATGATACACTTCAAGCGAATGGAAGTATTTTTTATTGACTTCTGGTTGGAAATACCAATTCCCGGTGTCAAACTCAGATCGATTTCATCACACAGTACCACTTTTTTGGACTCCTGAATCGATTTGCATGGTGAATGCACTTCTAGGCCAGGAAGTTTCTGCATGTTTGATGTTTTCTTCATACTCTGACGTACAGCAATAGCTTAAATGATGAGAAGTTTGGGTGGTGTGGCCTGTGCTGTATCTACCAGGCTAGCATATGACACTGGTTGAGCCTTTGCTCCTTCAACAGCATATCCTAGCCTGTTTGATACTTCAAAGGCTACACCACACAGGGTTCTCATCATTGAGAAACTCTTAGATCTTGCATCTGTAGCTGAGAGTTGCTGACGGGAAGCACGTGTTTGGTCACGTGACGCCGATGACCTCACAATTCTCATGGACCTTGTCTCCCGGGGTCGTCTCGGTATTCGTAGTCATCTCAGGTTTATAACCGAGAAGGTCGCAAAACACAGAGACCTAGAGATAGATGTGATCGAGCGAGTGTATGTCATTGGAAGTCATACGTGTCAAGGTCTGATTGGACTTCGCAGCTTCTCTGGTACTGACTGGAGAGGTAAACTTGTGGGCATCACAAAGAAAACAAGGGCTGGTGCATACATGAAGCTTGATGGTGATGACTCTGTTATCATCTGTTTCAAGAAGTTTGGAGAAGGGTGACTTGCCTTCGCAAGTCAAGGAATTGGAGAGATTTGTCTATTATTCATCTGTTCCATTAACCCTTACGGCACTTAGATGGCAATTGTTCAGTTCAGAAACCCTGGGAGAGATAGAGATGCTTCCACTGACTCGTACTGCATTGTCGCCCCATATCGCAGGAACAAAGTACATCGCGATACGCGACAAGTCGTAGCTAACCCGATCCCTGAACCTTCCTGTCATTTAACAACAGCGGCTGGCAGTTGGACAAGGGCATTTATGTTCCTGTGCCGAATCTTGATCTGCCTGCCCATCGTGCTGTAATTGAACTCACAAAATGTGGTTGTAAAACGGGCTGCATAGGGCGATGCAGTTGCTAAAAATGGTCTGCCTTATACATCTTTCTACACGTGTTTTGATAAGGACCGTACCAATATGATTAGGGTGTCAGGAGGACGAGGATGATGAATAACTGATGTATTTATTTCCAAGATAGGATCTTTTTGTTTCGTTTCTGGCTTGTTAAGATTCTTTATGTTTTTGATATTAAACTTGTTTACTTGTTACAAATGTCAAAGTGTCTTGAATCTCATGACAGAACATTCCAGTCACCCAAAAGTGACCATATTAATCATTTTACCATGCTTCAAAATCCACAAAAAGTGGTAGGCTGAGACACCGGAAATTGGTATTCCCCACCGGAATTCAATGAAACTCCATCCATTTGCTTTAAGTGTATCATAGATGGGGTCGGGATGAACTTCAGATTATGAAAATCCAACCATTGTTGGCAAAGATTGCCATGGACTCGGTCAGAGGGGTCCCGATGTCAAAAATGACCCTCCCAGAGGGGTCAAGGGGGCGGAAAATTTGAACCCCAACATTTTGGATAGCTTGGTCCAACATCAACCCAAAACAAGAAAAAAAAATCAATTTTAGCATATAAATCCTACGGGATGACATGTCATACCACACTAATATGCAATATGTAGCTTTTTTGTGAGTTAACTTACCAATGTACGCATAGGTTAGATTGAAACCTGTGCACCCGATACCGTTACCGTTTGTACCAAACTTTACATCGTATGTCAACCCGTCAGATGTTGTAACCGGCCCAGCAATACTATTGCCACACAACCTGAAATAAGAGATATTGCAGTTCATCTGCTGGTATCATAAACCTGCTTATCAGTACCGGATTTAGATAAAGGTATGCTCTCGGCTATTCCTTTTATGTGGCCACTCCTAGCCCTCAATATTCACGACAAGAGGAGGATGAAAGTGTGTTTTACCACTGTTGAGCAAAGCCGACAGGGATGATGACGGGTGTTAATACTATGAAAATATTATACACCATTGCCGAAGGCCAACTAGATCTTGAGGCCTGTCAAGCTTATAGGTTCACATCAAATATCCCGTTGGGTTGGTGGGGGTTGGAGTGAATGGTTTAACACGTGCGCTTTATATCACAAGATCTGGCATATATTCGTGGGTCGCCTGTCTAACCACGTTTGTTTTCTTTGGGCCCTCCGGTTTCCTCCTAAAGCTAAAGATCCCTACGCGAAACCAACTTATTGAAATAAAATTGAACAGTTAGTCCGAAATGAACTAGTTTCTGTCGAGGGATTGTTTATTGTTGTTCTCTATTGAGTGGACCATGTTTGCCCCGTGAGATTTATCGTCCAAATAAATTGATGGTTCTAACAATACCCAGTATACAACCCAAGTATAGTCGTAATACTACGTAACTCACCAAATATTTTCGAGCTGTAGATAATCGTTACAATCAGAACTGCGTGCGTCACATTGTGAAGTACCAGATTTTCTATCGAAACTTTCTATTGCAAAATTTTGATCAACTGTAATACGTAACCGTTTAACAGTACATCCCGGAATAGCCCATTGCATAGTATAAGGGCTTTGGTCTGGGTAATTATCAGGGTAGTTAGGTGATGTTATAATGTTGTCTATAACTAAAACAAGAGAAGATAGATATATAAGAGTATTATGTTACGTTACTAACAGCTTGATAAGACATGATAGCGATGTAATATCAAATAAACACATTACTTCGTATACATGGGACGGATGTAATACATTTATTAAATAAACGAAAAATTTGTTCTACATTCTGATCTACTCACCTTCACACGTTCTTCCGCTGGTGCGACGCAAACAATCACAACTGAACCCACCTTGAATAGGCATACAACGTCCACAATTCTGGCATGGATTCGGCTCACACGCATTATCTATCAATAAAGGCATAATGAATAATTTCTTGTATGTCTAGGTTTTGTATGTTTGGATGTAAACTAGAATAGGGCCCACGCGTATCTGAGGGCACACTGAAACTAATTTGTCGCACAGTGTGTCAGCATGTGAACTTGTTTTAAGTCCACACCTTATGCTTCATTACATAACATATTCAAACATAACATATTTAACGTCCACTCGACACAAACTAGGTCATTTCGGGATTAACATATGGTTTAATTTTATTTCAATAATTCGCTATGCGCGTAGGGGTCTTTGGCAGTGGGCGGACCCGGAGAAAACCCACGAGGTTGGACAGGCGACCCTACTCCTTGTCACGTACAACCGGGGTTTCGAAACCACGCCAGACTTTATGATACAGCGCGCGCGCACGATAACCATTCAGCCACCCAACCCCCCATGGTCAATAAGGATAGGGCCCGTAGTTGGGATTCTTGTAAAATATGTATCGGTCCAAAATAGATAGACATATCATATCTACAGAGTGAAAATATTCAATGTAAACAAATCCACACCACAAAACGCAACATACGCCTAAACAACAGCTCTGTCTTCAAAACACGATAGCAGCTTATCCGAAAGGAAATCTTGGTTATTCACCAAATTTGATAATGATCATTTTTGTCTTCAAGACATCTAATCTCTATCGTTTTCACAATCTTGGAAAAAATGTTAAAATTGTAGCCTACATTGCGTGTACTGTGTTTTCGTATAAGTGTGGGTAACTCTAAAAGATAATACCGATAGTGTTCATCTACTTATGACCGAATGCGTCATTACACTAAATTTTAAACAATTCTTCATCACGTTCACAAGGCTTTCGACAATGGGGGATAACTATATATGGAATGGTAATTTGAGGAACTCTGAATGAATATGGATAGGGTTCACCCTTTCACGACCCTATTCATTAACGCCAACTGTGAAAATAACCCACCCCCTAACGACCAATATGCTTCATGTCAAATTTAAAAACAAATTTATTAAACAAGGTTTTCGGAAGATAGTGGACTACCGATGGGTTTCGCCCTGCCTTGATCCACAATTTGAGATAAAAATCAATATAAAAAAAAGCTATAGACATTATTGCGTCACACGGTTCCCAGATAAGGGAGTACAACTCGGAATTTCGTCCTCTTGTAAACACAATGCTTCACATCAAATTTAGGTATATAAATAATACTATATACATTCGCCAAGTTATTTATATAATCAAACAATATATTGAAAGGGCTACTCTAATAAAATATGATAAGGAACGCCTCACAGACGATTTCATCTTTTGCGTCCAATTGTTGACGGACGGACGGACGGACGGACAGACAGCGTGACGGCATAAAATATCCAACACTAAAATGTTGGCATATAAAGATAACAGTTATTCACTACCAAATGTGATCGACGCATACATTTCTTACACAAATTGAAGCGGTCCGGGCATTGACAATATGATTTATTAAGTTCCGATTTATGTATGAAACCGACACATTGTCAACTACACAGAAACAAGAAAATTTGATTTAATTTTACATTTTACACAAATCATAGAGGTACGGAAATATTAAGTACGATTTTTATGCTTCAGCCGTTTTTACGAAACCGACAGCTAGCTTATTACAAGGCAACACATATAATGTGGGCATAGAATATATATATATATATATATATATATTATAGTGATGTTTGAAATGTTATCTTACCCTCGCACAATTCTCCCGTAAATCCATCCGCACATTGGCATGAAACCTCACCATCCTCTGGTACACACGTTCCATTATTTTTACAAGGTTGAGCGGCACACAGATCCTCTAGAATTATATCAAAATACGAATACACACAATTTGTATTAAATCGAAGAAGTCCGGTCATTTAAAGAGTAATATTTATAACCCTGCCGTTTGGTGAAATGTGAATGATAGCCAATATATATTATAGTGATGTTTGAAATGTTATCTTACCCTCGCACAATTCTCCCGTAAATCCATCCGCACATTGACATGAAACCTCACCACCCTCTGGTACACAAGTTCCATTATTTTTACAAGGTTGAGTGGCACACAGATCCTCTAGAATTATATCAAAATAATCCTCGTTAAAATAACACACAAATAGTTTTCAATAAAATATCTTTCATCAAAATGTTGTATTACAATATTCTTCAACAATATATTAATAATCGAAATAACATCTATTTAAAAAACACATAATAACAGACAACAAAATACGAATCCATACAATTTGTATTAAATCGAAGAAGTCCGGTCATTTAAAGAATAATATTTATACTCCTGCCTTTTGGTGAAACGTGAATGATAGCAATAAAACAAGTGTAATGTGGGCGTAATATAGATTATATTATATACACAGAGAAAATATTACCGCAACATCCAAATGCTTTTTCGAAAGTGAAATGTTAACTTCGACGTATTCTGTCCAACATACATACCAGTAAAAGCTGAAGATGCAGCACTACGATGCAGGGAAAGCATGGACGCCTTGCGTCAAGAAAAGAGTGTTTGGAAAATAAATCAATTGATTGAGTTGAGTTTTAAAATCGTTGTGTTCCCTGTTTGTATTTCTTAAATCTCTACAGCGAACACATTACAAGGTGTTGGCTTAAGAAATGTTGGGTTGCTAATGAGACAGACTGGATGCCAGTTGCTAGTTGGATTACCATTTGTCGACCATTGCCGTCGATTATTGCGAGACTAGTGACGTAAAGGGCCATGAACGTCCGTCAACTTTCTGGAAAACTGAGCCAAGGTCTACTATTAAAACATATGACGTCACATATCAGTTAATTGCAAATTTATCTGTAAAGCATCCAGCAATCAAACTGTGTATCTATCCTCAGAATACAGCGGAAAATGAACTTAGTCGTGGTGTTGATGTTGTAATACTATGCAACAAGGTTCATCACACACTCCACGAGAATCAGTTATCCTGTCTCTAAACATCAACCAATCAATTTTTTGTTTTCTGTTGGACCTTGGCGGAATCTGTTAATTGAAGCATTGACTTTATAAAAACCCACACCATTTCTAGCTCAATTACAGTTATTGTGTCTCAAAAGCGGACACATGTTCAGACATGCGAACGAACCCATTTTAATAGACGTCTTCTTTCGGAGGACAAATAGATGTATTTTATGTTTGGTAGTGTAGATTATTACTTAAGTTTTTGCCTAGTGATTTTATCAAATAACTCGTACGAAACTTAAGTTTTTCCTTTTTGGCTGCTAATGGCTGTGATTAATGTTATGTTGAAAACCTAATTGATTGCTCCAAATAAAACCAAATTAGAGACATTTAATGTGCTATATAGTAGGCGTATTTGAAATTCATCTTTTGTATATTATAGTTGTACTGAAATATCTCTCACCCTCGCAATAGTCACGTGTAAATCCAACCTAGTCTATTACAAGGCAACATATATAGTGCGGGCATAGAATAGATTATATATATATATATATTATAGTAATGTTTGAAATTGTTATCTTACCCTCGCAAAATTCTCCCGTAAATCCATCCGCACATTTGCATGAAACTTCACCAGCCTCTGGTACACAAGTTCCGTTATTTTTGCAAGGTTCAGCAGCACAGATATCCACTAAAATGGTATCAAAATAATACCCATGAAACTAATGTACATTCTTCAAGTGTATACAGTAACATGAATTGGTAGGTGTTATGTCTACTTTTATTTGATGTTTAGAAGTGTATATTTATTTTTATCTTTCGTATATGTATATATACACGATGTCAAATTTTCGCTCCGATCAGTAACTCTTACACATTCTGACAAATGTGCGTACAGGGTAAAAGTTTTTATTTGGGATTGATAACGTTGTTGTTGTACTTAGTGTTTAACGTCCGTTTCCATCGACGGTGATATCGCAGACAACTTGTCTTATTTTCATTTTTATTATCGTAGCGCACGCGCTGGGATCTTTTCTGTGGGAGGAAGCTTGAGTATCCGGAGTAAATCCACGAGGTTGAGAAGAGGCGCCCATAGCTCCAAGCTACACACGCTCACACCAGGGATCGAAACCATAACCGCAAGACAGAGGTGGTCAGCCAACTAGAGGTCGAAACGTGGCACTCTAGGCCTACTCAACCCCGCGATAAATAACGTAAATCTATACACCGATAAGTAATTAAAATGCCATCAGGCGATCACTTTCTCTAGGAATACATATAGTTGAATGGCAACTAGTAAATCTTACCACCACAATCTGATCCCGAGAAGCCACAGGGACAATTACAAATACCTTTGACACATACTCCATTGTTGAGACATTCAACATCCTCACAAGGGTCTAAACAAAATAAAACAGGTTTATATAATATTTAGACATAAATATAAGGCACGACAATTTTTGCAGGAATAAAAGTGAGCAAACATTTATTTATCATGTTTACCTAAATCTGAATTTAAACTGTTTTTAAGATTCACAAATAAAAATGAGTTGTGCTGATTAAACTCCATTATATGGCACTAATAAAACGAAGAAAGAGAAGCAGAATCTTGTGGCACCTCGATATTAAAGTGACAGTTTTCCGATATAACTTGTTAGAATTTATTTGATATGGAATTTGAAACTAGCTTAATTGAATCCAGTTTAATAACATAATTCGGATAACATTAAGAGTTATGTGAATCTAGTGTTTTAAAGATACCTTAAACTTTAATGACTGTAATTTATGTAGCTCACGTTGTACATAAACTATAGCATAAACTATAATAACTGTAATTTGTGACGGTAACGCTGTGCGTAAATGAGTATAGCCGGACATGTAGAAAAAAGTCTAAAATATTTTGATAAATGTTTCTTTCTATACATTTTTAAATTTGGCCAAAAACATTTTCTATGCAAATTGTTTATGCCGCATTTAGTAACTGAATGAGAATAGCATATGCCGCAATTATATGGAATACAAGTTACTTAAAGGACAATATTGGTGTCAGTCATTATAAAATATGTGATAGAGCTCGTTAAATACATCCCAAATATAATTTTAACACAAAGATCATTGCTACAATAGCTGAGAAACAAGCACGTGAAGAAACGGGAAGTGACGTCAAACATGACAAACACGAGTTGTCTTTCTATATTACAGACTGAATTAACGAGCGGTAACAGACAAACGATCGAATTTCATTTCACTGATAATTCAGTTGAAGATGAAAAGTTGTTATATGAGACGATGAGAGGATATCTGACAATTCAAAAAAAGAATTGGCTGTCAGTAGATAAAAGATAACGAACAAATTAGAAAAAGTCCGTGCATTACAATGTTTTTATTAAGAACAGAATGAATAAAAACGGGGGAATGCACGGGATTTTTCTATTTTTCTCGCGTCCCTTTTCTAGTGACAGCCAATTCTATTTATGAATTGTAAGATACCCTCCCACCGTCCCATATAATAACTTTTCCACTTCAACGGAATTATCAGTGAAATGAAATTCGATTGTTTGTCTGTTACCGCTCGTTACTTCAGTCTGTTATATAGAAAGACAACTCGTGTTTGTCATGTTTGACGTCACTTCCCGTTTCTTCACGCGCGCTATCGTAGTAATGATCTCTGTGTTAAAATTATATTTGGGATGTATTTAACGAGCTCTATCACATATTTTAAAATGACTGACACCAATATTGTCCTTTAAAAGATTTATTTCTGGTGGCGACGTTTTGACGAGGTTTCTAAATCTTTCAAGTAACTTGTATTCCAAATAATTGTGTCATGTTCAGATTTGAACTCTATAGAGAAAAAAGGTCTATACATTTAGACATGTATAAAGTATTTGCTTGAGCAAGTTAACTATTAAAGGGGCATGGTCATTATCTCACAGAAGGTGACTCAGTGAGTAGGACGTAGGTAGCTAACCAGGGAACATCATGTTCGACCCCTACGTTAAGCGAGAAAGTTCATCTGGATTTTCCGACGTGGTTCCCCATTGTCAGTGGCGTAAGACAGAGGGCCTGGCAAGGGACAACGTATAGTCGCTCGGATGGGACGAGGAACTGAGGTCACGTATACACATCCCTGTGTACCTAAAAGAACCCTTTAAAGTAGGAATTCTGCTGTCTGGTCATAATTGCACTGATAACATAGCGTATGCCCATATTCATTAGCCCAGAACAGAACAGTAGGACGTTAAACCCCATTTCATTTGATTTCATTTTCATTTCTTTCCAGAAAATAACTATAACAACCTTATCATCCCCTAATTAGAGAAAATCCTACTTGATAACACCACTAAATCAAATTTACGACTCGTTAATTTACAGTTAAAATATTTATATCTCAAATTAAAAGACACCCGATCGATGTTAAATCACCTCAGATCGAAACCAGTTTTTTAAAACAACCGGCCAATATCTACATAAGGCTACTGCCTTAATATATTATACATTGTGCCAAGTTAATTTTAGATTGTCAATAATAATAATATGGTTAAGCGTGCAATAAACGGGGTGTAATTGTCCCTAGGTATGTTCTATTAGAAAACTGTCAAGAGTTAAGTACTACGTATAATTACCTTTACAACAGTTGCACAGGTCCGCTCTTTTAAATGTATCACAACTTATACTTTCAAGGTTAAAGGCTGGCCTTCTCCTCCAATACCTTCTTTTGTTTAAATGGTCAGTAGAAACGGTTGTAACAAAGACAGCAGCAAGAACAGCAACTAACACACCACGCATAATGATTATTTAACGCGAAGTTAAACGTGTAAGACAAATCCTGGTGGAGTTATGATGCTCGTTATGAGTATGCTCTATTTTAAAGGCAGTGAAATGGCAACAGCCGTTGTTTATGTGTCCCCAACCATCTGAAAATAGATCGTAAGCAACGTCAATAATTTTGGATAGAAATAAGGAAGTAAAGAATAATGTGTAAATATGTACAAATATAAAAAAATCTCAACACTCGAATGTCCTGAAATGAACATATTCTTTCCGCCATGCAGACACCTAAAACAGACCTACGATTCAAGGAAAACATATTTACGAAATAAGAAATTGCATTGGGCGCAGATTTAAATTCGCTGTGTTCACGGTCCGTATTTCACAATTGGACTTTGGCTGCCGCAAAGGATGACAAGTTATTGCCACGGGTTATGCTAGGATATCATGGCCAGTTTGGTTACTGTCCCTTGATCATTATTACTGGGTATTGACTTAATGGACCACCCACTTTCTGGTATATACATGTCTATGTAATAGATGATGGCGCCAAAAGACCAACCAGATGATCCCCCTTGCCACGTGACCATAAGGTTGCACGACAAGCGTGGTGCCGAGCACGGCATCATTGGCACATGGTATTATTTCGAAAAATGCACTGATCGGATGAGAGTCTATTTCCCTTGATTATGACGAATGGTACAAAACACGGGCATGACACCGTAGGAACATGGCATATGTACGTACAGGGAAATATCCTAGAGCAGGTTCCTTTCGGCGACATCTCTACCATATGGCTTTCACTGGTAAAAGTTGGAGATCCTGGACAAGGTTGTGCCCCAATTTGACAATCATCCATTTCTCACAAGTCCAAATCTTATCGACGGCATTGGTAGATAACATCGTGCGCTTGCCGTTGTTGATTTTTGCACCAGGAGGCCGCTACTACACTTCCATGGCAAGTCCAAAGTCCTGGCCTGAATCTTCAGAACGATCCATTCCATCAGTGCAAAATCGTGACGATTTGGATCACAGTATATTAGGAATGAAATAGACTCACGTCGGCTCGAATTCTAAGAGAGACACAGAGAAAGGGGAATAAAAAAATCTTGTTTAATATCCGCTCGACACAAGTTAGGTCATGTTACAGTATTGGGTCTTTATTTTAGGTTCTTTGAATCGGTTCTTGATCATAACACTGGTTTAACTTCATATGATACACTGAAAAAAAAAACTTGTGTTGGATCTTAACAAAAGTACTTGTGTGAAAATTATTTTACACAAACTTGTGTTGTTTTGCATTGCATTAACCCAAACGTGTGTAGATTTATAAAATCGTGTGGGGGTTTTTTCCCATATAATTAACACAAGTAATGTGTACCGTCAATAAATATTTTGTGTTTTTAAAAATTGAACTCCATACAAAGTCTTAATTCGGGGGTCCACAAGTACAAGAAAATTATTTTTTTTTACTCAGACAATATAGCTAGACAGACTTGAATGCTAATTGGTGTTTAGATGTCTGTAGTTAAAATAAAGTTGTTGATTGGCCTAATAAACTGGTAGATTAAAGGAATACATAACAGGCCTGGTGAGCATGCCTGGTGGGATTTGTACAATTGACTCCATATGCGTTGACCAGGAAATGCGTAAAACTTTTATTTAATGTGATTGGTTGATAAAATCTACGTACTACTTTTAGTCCGAAGCATTAGGACTGCGGGCGATTAAACCTATTGGTTTTCAAATGTGTTATGGAGCATTGAAATCATGTTCAACAATTTAGGACTTTCAGTTATAAAGATGTGTGCGGATTATCCTTTTGGGTAAACTGCAGTTTGGACATAACTGGTTTATGCCGTGTTGCTGCATTTTGTGTGGCTATCGTTTAACTACTGTAACTTCGCTAGAAACTCCAGGGGCAGAAGGTTTTCATTTTCAGATGTCCATCAACAGGTAAAAGCTGATTGGAAAATATCTCAGGTGTAGAAATATCCAGTCAACTTAATACTGGTAATATTTAATTGTATAACCATTTGATATACAGAGAGAGAGAGAGAGAGAGAGAGCGATCAGATTTAACGCCCACTCAACACAAACTAGGTATTTCGGGACTGACACATGGTTCAATTTATTTCTATAATTAGCAGTGGGGGGAAACTGGAGAACCCGGAGAAACACCATAAGGTTGGACAGGCGACCCTACTTCTTGTCAAGTACATCCGGGGATTCGAAACCACGCCAGTTGACTCAATGACAGACCTAATGATACAGCGCGCAGATGTAACCATTCGTCCCCCCCCGATATTTCATGATAACTATAACTAGTTATATTATAACTCATTGATATGTATACGAGACATGGCTAAAAGTTCAAAGTCTGAAAATGATAGATCAATTGGGTTGAAACAAACTTTTGTCAACAACAAGTACCGATTAATTTAAAACTGATAATCGAGACTTTGTTTATTGTCGTAGCAATGGTACTTTCTAATCAAGACTATATCACCAAACCTTCAAAGACTCATAACTTTCGAATAAATTAATTTGATTGAAATTGTCAATATATTCAAATATGCTACCTATTTTGGAACTATTAGTATAGCAATAATGGCCAGCTCTTTCTCTAAATCTTATTTAATGCATCTTTAGATACACATTACTATTTAACAATGAAAGGTGGGAAATATTGAGCTGTATGGAGTTGATTTGAAGCATACTCTGCCACCGATTGAAGATCAGAACCTGAACACCAAAGTTGAACACCTAATTTGAGAGGGGGACCCAAATCTCAAAACCATTGTATCCCCGCCAACAAGGCCCTGTTGTCTGCCTATGCCCCTGGTATACGGACCTCTAAATTTATTTCCGTCTTCATTAGCCCAGTTTAGGAGCAAAACAGTAGGACATTAAACCCCATTTCATTTCATTTCTAAATTTATTAGTTAGCTGAAAGGGGCGATAACAATTTGACTATCTAGGCCTTTTTTCCCTCACATTTTGATTTGCTTATGAAAATCTAAAAACCAATGAACGTAAGACTTTGAATAGTAGACGGAAGCAAGGGGAGCCCATGTAAAACTAAAATCCAAAAGAATTAGACGAGAAAACTTTTATAGAAGGAAACAGAAGCATAAACAAGCCCCGGTGAATCAGATACTGATTTAGACAAACAAGGCAATAAACATAACACGGATAATAGAGGTAATATTTATTTTAAACATTAAATTACACAGCATAATAAAATGTAGCTTCACGAATTGTATATCCAAATAAAGCAATAAACATGAAAGTAAAAGTTGGGTTTATTTCAATAGTGAAATGTTAACTTCAAAGTAAACAACATCTGTCGCTTCGCGGATTTTATCGCTTTAAAGCAGTGTATAATCTCTATCAAGCACAATTGTTTTTTGGGATGCTGAAAAATATTTTACAATATTTGTTGGTATTTCAACTTGCTAATTAATATTCTACGATTTTATCAACATGTGCCTACTGTTGGAACCATGTTGAGGCTTCCTTATACAATTATAATCTATTTTAAATGTAATACCTTTTATTGCTGTTGTTAATAACAACATTTCAAATTTTACCAAAAAATGTTTATATTTATTAAATAATTAGTACCGGGGTAAGTTTAACATATGGATGACTAATGGAATGCCTTTAACAGAAATATATATAGTCCATCTGTTATTGTTTACATATTGGTCTTTAGGTTATGCATGTCCCCGTGGCGTTGCTAGCGTTTACCGCCTTTATTAATCTATGCATTCGGTTTTTTCCGCTTCTGCTCACAAAGTGTGTAATTGACAACGGTAGATCTGTTTTATTGCGTTTAAAGTGTAGGCCTACCTATCACCATTGATTGTACATCTATGTTTGAAAGTCTTGTTCGGCTATTATTTTTTATTGAATTGCTCAAAGAGACACGTATGTTAAAGGGACTATCAGTCTTAAAACAGTCTTAAAAATAAAAGTCTGTGTACATATGAAATTTAAGCGCCAAAATATAGAGGAATTTTGTATCAATACCTTGTCACACAATTTCAGCTCAAAATATTGAGTCGTTTGGACGTGAACGCCAAAACTGCTTAACCGGACACGTAACCCTTTTAAGATGTCGGGTCAGTTTTTTCGTTGGGTGATCTGATAATCGATTCCCGTTCCTTTAGATATATATACAGTGAATGCCACATGTGCTGTACTTGATAATGAAAGGTAAATTTTACCTACACATTATTCTTATAAAATAAAAGTCTGGTTTTATTCAGACACCGTATAATACAGCTTGGGACACCAGTCCCCATTCCACACGATGACTGACAGGTTTAAGTTGTTTGAAAACGTATCACATATATTGAGTTAGTTACTCGGCCCAAAGGTAGATGATTTTAAGGGATTTTAACACAAATTTATTCTCCAAAATATTATCGGGATTGACCCTTTAAACATCATTTAAAAGATCTATTTCCTTGTTCTGTTGTGTAAAAGTCGCTGATCGTCATTTTGGATCCCATGCAAAAGAAAAAATACTTAATCGATCGTTTTGATATTCTGTATGCCCGTTTTGACAAATCATGTCGGCCTTTTTGATTTAAGGTCGTTTTGTTAAAGAGACAATAACACTCTTGCTGGCTTGACAGCTCCCGAAATTAAAAAAATAGCCTTATTCTAAGTACTAGATGTGTTAGTGTCCTACCTGCTGTGTAAATTATCCATTTAATCCTATTATACTTGTTCGGAGGGTTCAAAAATATTTTTAAATCCAAGTCACATTTGAAAAACTTTACGTCAGGCTTTTCAAATCATTTAGTTGAATTTTTCCAATTTTTTAAATTAGGTGTGTTAAGATGAAATTTGTATCACCAATTAATTGGAATATTGTAAAATAGTACAATTTGTTGACCAGAATAAAGATTGGGACATATTATTCAGTTACAACAAGAGTGGTATTGAGCCTTTAAGTCTATCTATTTGTGAATCTAAGCTATGAGATTAACACCACCGCTCCCCTCTTAATTTTGATTTTTGAAATGTTAAACAATCCACTTCAGTTTATATCAGCAGGATTAAGCACTGGAAATTAAATATTTTCTGAAAAATACAAATGTTGCACAGAGACGTAAAAATAATAATGCTTCGCTAGACACCCTTTTAACTATCTCGCTAATTGTTGAAAATGAAATTAAGGGTTTCCAAAAGTTCTCCAAATCTCAAAATTCAATTAATTTACCTTTTCTCAACTGAACTTACAGTTCCATTTTCTGGCATTTCTAATTACAGTCGTAATTTCAACTTCTGCAAAAGATTATATAAATTATTGCGCCTGCTCTATTCACCTATTCGTCATTGTTGAAGGGAGGTAACTCCACCGCTGGTGGCGCTAGTTGAGGGGGATTTACATTGTTTATTAATGGCTTCGCTTGACAATTTGACGTCTGCGATAATAAGTCAACACAAACAAACTGAACTGTCCCTATTCAAATTATTTATTATCATAATGCAACTTTAAATAATATACTTTTCCACATTTTTAACATAATTATATCTAATTTTGTCATGTGAACACAGATCATCATAAAATGCTGCGATAGGTAGGTTGACAAAATTACGACTTAGTTAGGCTATTTTTAGTTACACTCGATTCGATTGATTCGATTCGGCTAGTATTATGGTCCCCCTAAACAGCCTACATTCTTCGGGTGAAATATAAAAATGAGCTGTGTGAAAATTCCAAATATGAAATTGGTGTTTTGTATGTCCTTATCATAATATCAGCCGTCGTATGTTCGGGATTCGCCGCTCATAAATAGGCCTACGCCTATTGGATGCGATGCATGTACCGTAGCTTATTGCCCAAACTTTCCCTTCGTACTCGTAGATCTAATATTTATAATTAAGCTCTTTTTACAAAAAAACTTAAATATATTTCGCCCCTCCGTAAATGGATGTTGGACATATTTTTTAAATTGTAAGTTTTTAAATCTAATTAAGATTTTAAAAAAAAAATATAGGCCCTACCCCCACCCTTCCTTCCGAACAGACACCACAAGATAAAGTGATTTATTTTTTTTTATTGATAAACAATTCATTTCTCTTTTTTTTACTTCACAGACTTATTCTTATTCTGACCTGTTGAAGTTAACTAATCAGCAACTTGATAAGATTATTAGATTACATTCATTGGTCCCCAAGAATAAACATTTAGAGAAAATTGACCAGCTATCTTCAGTCTTACATCTAAAACCCCATGAAATAATTAAATATGAAGATTTGTGTAAACTTAATGATTTGGAATTGAAAGACTTACTCAGGAGAAATCATTTAGAAGTTATTGGCAAAAGGACCCATCATTTGGCACAGCTGTCTTCAATTTATAAATTTAATCAATCTACTAGTGTGCTTCATCAACATATTTGTGACATTAAAAATTCAGTTAAGGGCTGGACCCAAAATCTTAAATATTTGCCATCTACAACACTTTCGCAGATTGTAGAATATTTGATTAATGCTCATGATATTAAAACATGTTCTTCAAACTTTGAAGAATTCACATCAGAAACACTTAAGCGATATAAAGCTTTACGCAGTTACGAACTTTGGGCTTCAGGACATATAAATTCTGTTCGGTTTAACAATCTGGCAGATAATTATTCATACTGTGCTTTACGCTGCAAAAGTAACCCATCTTGGGATACATCTGGAACTGTATATGACACATGCATTGTTTTAGATAAATCTAGTGGTAAACCACTTGGTGGTCATTGTTCATGTGTAGCAGGATTGATCGAGGCATGCTCTCATGTTGCTGGCTTACTATTTGGCCTAGAAGATATTGTTAGTAAAGGTTTAACAGAATTGCCTGACACTTCGTGCACATCTATTTTATGTTCATGATCTGCACCAAAATCCAAAAATATTCAAGTGAAACCTCTTAAAGATGTTCCTATTGTAAAAAAAGGACCTATTAAGGTGGTTAAAAAAAATTGAAGAGTAGCATCTTTAATCCAGTTAATCCTCTAAAGGCTGGGGTAAAATTTGAAAAGGCACAACAGCTTTTTCATGAACTTAATTTATGTCGTCCAAATTTACCATGGTTGAAATCGGTAGATCTCAATAAGTGGAGACCCGTAAATAATCAACCCTTGCAAACATTTGGACCCTCAGATCTTAAGGATATATATAACTTGGATGCAGTTGAATTAGTACCATCTTTTATTACCGATATATACACAGAATTATTACCCCCAAAATCAATATTAGAAAAATCTAAATATCTTGTTAGCATGAGACAAAATACAAATATGCATGACTTTATGACTTTACTTTGCTATACTGATTCTGAGATAAATGCAATTGAATCATTGACAAGAAAACAAAGTGAAAATAAAAAAAACTGGTTTCATTATCGAAAATGTGCCATAACATCCAGCAAAATACATAATATTTACACACGAGTAAAATCAGGCAAAACATTACTTGATCATGGGAGCAATGACTGGCTTATAGAAGATGTAATGGGCAATAGTAAATTTAAGGGAAATATACATACTGCATATGGTCTTATACATGAAAAAGATGCAGCTTCTGAATATCTAAAAGAAAAGCAGAAAACACATATTGGGTGTAATCTAATGCAGAAAGGGTTAATGTTTTCAAATGAGGGTTGGTTTGCAACCAGTGTTGACAGAATCTTTTCATGTTCTTGTTGCGAGGATAAAATAATAGTTGAAATTAAATGTCCAAAAACCATTGAAAACAAACCAACTACAGATTTTTATAAATTCTATTAATTACTTAAAACCTGATGAGAATGGTCAAGCTCATCTAATTCCTTCACATACATATTATACCCAAATACAAAGTCAAATGGCTATAATTAAAATACATAAAGCTGACTTTGTTGTATGGTCCAGTAAAGGAATTATAAGTAGTACAATGTCATTTGATTTAGATTTTTGGAATGACGTGTATGGTAAGGCTAAATTATTTTACACAAATATAATTGTTCCAAAATTAATGTTTAATGAAATGCGATGATGTGTATTTTAAGGCTAAATTATTTTATACAAATACAATTGTAAGAAAATTAATGTCTTATGAAATGCAATTTAGACATTCTTCAGAACTCCAGCCACTGCAGTGGTTTTTATATCCTATTCTATTTCAATAAACAAATCGTTTAATAGTGTTGATTTTTACTTAAATGAAATTAATAGTCGATAAAATATATGAAAAAACTGTAATGGCCGAAGGTTTCCTCTTTAATTGTAAATACTAATAGTGGCTTAATTACCGAATTTATAGATGTGTGTTGACAAAATATGTATAAAAAAACTGTAATGATCGAAAGGTTTCCTCTTTAATTGTAAATAGTGGCTTAATTACTGAATTTATACATGTTTGTTGATAAAATATATAAAACAATTGTAATGACCGAAGGTTTTCATAGAGACTTAATTTGTACATGTTTGTTGACAACATTATGTTATATTTTTAATATTATAAGTGTTATTACTGTTAACAATAGACATTTATTACTTCACAACTTCAAAAATGTTTTCAGTTTGTTTTAATTTTAAAAGCCTATACTTTGAGAAAAGGATCTTGAAAATTTACAAGGTAAGCACAGGTACGAAAAATATTTTCGTAATTTCCTATCATGGCCAACTTGACCTCATTCTCTAGCAAGAGAAACTGTTTAATACGCCTTATTGCCCTTTCTATATGAACACGGGCCTCTGATATTTTTTTACTTCTTAGTACTTCATCTTTAGAAAATTGGGCCTTGTCTTTGGGTTTAAAAGGGGGACTAATTAACTGAACACCAGCAGGTAAATCATCGCAGATCGTAAAGCCTCGGTCTGCCATAATGCTCGTCCCTGGATCGAGATAAGATAATAAACTTTCAGAATCATTTGTAATAAATTTTTCGGAAGCCCTACCACCATACATTTGAGACACATATGTTACCGCTCCTGTTGGACTGATACCAACCATAAATTTCACTGTACTGAGATGCTTATAATTAGAATGATATTGCCTATGAGCGGTTAATGAAGAAGGAGTCTCACTAAACAACTCTGTACAATCTATAATAATTGCAATATTATTAAAATCTTTAAAACAGGAAGCTTTAGTTTGCACAACAGATTCAATTGAAGGTAATTCACATAAATTTGTAAGTTCTATTGATAACAGTGTCGTCCACGTTCTAAATATGGATGAAAATGAAGATTCAGAAATACCAAATCGCTTTGAACAATCTTTTGAAGGCAAGCCTAATTTCAATCTGACTAATGTTATGAAAAATTCATCTTGCAAAGTTAAAGCTCTTTTCTTGCCTGGCTTAGAAATGTACCGATTACTAAAAAAATTATATTCGTAGGTTTTACTTCCTTTATCATATTTCACATCTATAACTTTGTCTTCTAAATAATTAAATAAGGCTAAAAACACTGAATACGTAGGAAAACCAGTAAAATATCGAAATAAATTGTCATCATCTTTTACATTATATAAAGTCAATATTTGCACTTTCTGGTTATGTTCATCAAATGCTGTAGCTTTCTGAATTGCTGTATTGTAGTCATGTAAGAATGTAGAAAACTCAGGATGTTGACTTGTCAAATTATCAATAGCCTCGGCCAGTCTACCTGTTCTTATTGTACTTAAATAATCATGATCATGCTGTGTTGACTGAAATAAAAAAAAAAGCACTTGATTGAAAAATGTAACTAATATGAGAAAGTTTATATATTCTCACTTGTGCGGAGTTTCATTTTGAGTGAAGCATGTAGGCCTATCACTACAGGACTGTTCAGCGCAGTGGGCACTAATGTCTAGTCCACAGGTTTATCTTATGGGTGTTTGTATATGTGCGACACTATTTATAGTAACATTGTGTAACATTATATTGATTTTATTCAAAAATGTACTGTAGTAATTCAATATCAGTACAATTTTTAAAAGGAATATCATATTTTACTTTCACTTACAGGTAACTGTTTTATTCTATCAATTTCTTGTGGTGAATCCTCGGCTTCTAAAATTTATATCACATTCACAGAACTGTTTTCCTTGTTTTTCTAACAAATTTACTTATAAATACACGGTAGGTCATTCGTTCAATTTTCAATGAATAGGGGAGTCTAACTTAGGTTATTTTCAATAATTCAAAACTAAATCCATCATTTAACAGTGTTTTTTGGGGGGGGGTGGGGGGTGGCAAGAGTGACAGGCTAGTACTAGTACTACCTCTTTAAAATTATGAACCTGATGACCCCCCCCCACCTCCTCCATTGCATAATATTAAACTCTTGTGATAGTTTGAGCCAAATGTTAGGCCTAACAGGTACTTGAATAGCCTAATGTGAAAGTGAATTGTAAACAACTGAACAAGGCCTTGATTTTATTTGTGGGCCGCAATCTTGACTAGGTAGTATTTCGACTGTCCATACACTACTACTACTACTATTTTGTGTAAATTTTGTGTGAGTGCAGTCTCCATGCACTTCTATTATACTCTAGAGGCCTAAATAATAATACTTTAAAATAATAGTAATATACTATTCAAAAAAAGTAGGGGATATTTGATTTTGGGGGCATAATACTAAAATATGCAAATGACTACGAAAATAGTCACTATAGAACCTAACAGAAGAAACATTTCCAGGTACATGTGACGCCCAAACGCACCAATAGCTACCGCATGGAATGCAGGTGATGCTTGGGATCATCATGGGGGTCCAACCCAAGATTTGCACGACTCTGACTTTGAATGTTACAGTCATTGTGGCATTGAATTCCAGGGTGGAAACATCAGTTTAATTGTTTTAGTGACCAGAAAACAAATTTTGATATGCGTCGGCTTACCCAAAATGAAAGGTTACGTGCCCTTGGCATGCTACAGATCGGCACAACACAGGCGGTTGTGGCGCGGACGATGAATGTTTCTCAGTCTGTCATAAGCAGTCTATGGTCCAGATACCGTGATACACAATCTGTACAGGACAGACCACGCTCAGGTCGACCAAGGGCGACAACTCAAGCCCAGGATCGATTTATCCGTACCTTGGCCCTGAGAAATCGTGTCATCACAGCAAATCAGATCAGCGCTCGTCTTCAAACAGACACTGGTGTGAGAGTGAGTGGCCAGACGATTCGGAATCGACTGCATAGGGGTCACCTTCGCGCCCGACGTCCTCGCGTGATCCCTTGTTTGAGAGATCATCACATTCAGGCAAGACGTCGTTGGTGTAGGGATCGTCAACACTGGGATAATCGACGCTGGAGCAATGTGATGTTTTCAGATGAGTCAAGGTTCACTGTTGATTTTTTGGACAGACGTAGGAGGGTGTGGCGTCGTCGAAACGAGCGCTTCCAAGACGTTAACGTCATCAGACATGATCGATTTGGGGGTGGTTCTGTTATGGTGTGGGGAGGCATCACTGTTGCTGGAAGAACGGCTTTACATGTTGTTGCAGGGCGTGTTACAGGCCAGTACTACCGGGACAACATCTTGGCAGTCCATGTTGTGCCGTTCGCACGACGTCATGGCCGCCGTTTCATCTTCCAGGATGACAACGCAAGATGTCACAGGGCCAGGATCGTTACAGGTTACCTCCAACAACAGAACATCACCACATTACCTTGGCCAGCACTGAGTCCCGACCTCTCCCCCATCGAGCATGTCTGGGACATGCTTGGACAGAGGTTACGTCAACGTCAACAACGTCCTGCCAATGTCCAAGAACTCTGATATTTTTTTACTTCTTAGTACTTCATCTTTAGAAAATTGGGCCTTGTCTTTGGGTTTAAAAGGGGGAATAATTAACTGAACACCAGCAGGTAAATCATCGCAGATCGTAAAGCCTCGGTCTGCCATAATGCTCGTCCCTGGATCGAGATAAGATAATAAACTTTCAGAATCATTTGTAATAAATTTGTCGGAAGCCCTACCACCATACATTTGAGACACATATGTTACCGCTCCTGCTGGACTGATACCAACCATAAATTTCACTGTACTGTGATGCTTATAATTAGAATGATATTGCTTATGAGCGGTTAATGAAGAAGGAGTCTCACTAAACAACTCTGTACAATCTATAATAATTGCAATATTATTAAAATCTTTAAAACAGGAAGCTTTAGTTTGCACAACAGATTCAATTGAAGGTAATTCACATAAATTTGTAAGTTCTATTGATAACAGTGTCGTCCACGTTCTAAATATGGATGAAAATGAAGATTCAGAAATACCAAATCGCTTTGAAAAATCTTTTGACGGCAAGCCTAATTTCAATCTGACTAATGTTATGAAAAATTCATCTTGCAAAGTTAAAGCTCTTTTCTTGCCTGGCTTAGAAATGTACCGATTACTAAAAAAATTATATTCGTAGGTTTTACTTCCTTTATCATATTTCATATCTATAACTTTGTCTTCTAAATAATTAAATAAGGCTAAAAACACTGAATACGTAGGAAAACCAGTAAAATATCGAAATAAATTGTCATCATCTTTTACATTATATAAAGTCAATATTTGCACTTTCTGGTTATGTTCATCAAATGCTGTAGCTTTCTGAATTGCTGTATTGTAGTCATGTAAGAATGTAGAAAACTCAGGATGTTGACTTGTCAAATTATCAATAGCCTCGGCCAGTCTACCTGTTCTTATTGTACTTAAATAATCATGATCATGCTGTGTTGACTGAAATAAAAAAAAGATCACTTGATTGAAAAATGTAACTAATATGAGAAAGTTTATATATTCTCACTTGTGCGGAGTTTCATTTTGAGTGAAGCATGTAGGCCTATCACTACAGGACTGTTCAGCGCAGTGGGCACTAATGTCTAGTCCACAGGTTTATCTTATGGGTGTTTGTATATGTGCGACACTATTTATAGTAACATTATGTAACATTATATTGATTTTATTCAAAAATGTACTGTAGTAATTCAATATCAGTACAATTTTTAAAAGGAATATCATATTTTACTTTCACTTACAGGTAACAGTTTTATTCTATCAATTTCTTGTGGTGAATCCTCGGCTTCCAAAATTTATATCACATTCACAGAACTGTTTTCCTTGTTTTTCTAACAAATTTACTTATAAATACACGGTAGGTCATTCGTTCAAATTTCAATGAATAGGGGAGTCTAACTTAGGTTATTGTCAATAATTCAAAACTAAATCCATCATTTAACAGTGGTTTTTTTTGGGGGGTGGGGGGTGGCAAGAGTGACAGGCTAGTACTAGTACTACCTCTTTAAAATTATGAACCCGATGACCCCCCCCCACCTCCTCCATTGCATAATATTAAACTCTTGTGATAGTTTGAGCCAAATGTTAGGCCTAACAGGTACTTGAATAGCCTAATGTGAAAGTGAATTGTAAACAACTGAACAAGGCCTTGATTTTATTTGTGGGCCGCAATCTTGACTAGGTAGTATTTCGACTGTCCATACACTACTACTACTATTTTGTGCGAGTGCAGTCCCCATGCACTTACTATTATACTCTTAGAGGCCTAAATAATAATACTTTAAAATAATAGTAATAATACAGTCGACTGTGCGTACCGGGTATGGTAGGAAATATGACAATAATTATATGGGCCTCAACGGCTCATAGCATTATTAGGAGCAATAGGACTACCGGTAATTTGTAGATTATTAGCCTACCTTGTTGACCGTATCACTATCAGTTCTTTTCCTTTTCAAGACTGGTGGTAGCTCCCTTGAAGTAGATTTGGTAGAAGACCTTGGTGTTGGGTTTTTTCTAAATACAAACACTGTTGGTAGTACATGCTTGTTACTTTTTTGCCTGGATGATGGATTTGGCGGACACAGGAAATGACAGCTACAAAGCTTCGAGCTATCACTCGGATTCCACGGGTGAACTTTCCCGTCGTCTGTCACAACATTTCTCTTGACAGCATTCACCCATAATTTACGCCAATGCTCATCAACGGGAAATTCATAAAAATTGCACGTATCGTTCTTACTTCTAGTATGGTTGCACCCAAAAGCGCAACAAAAATTGTGTTTACCCATTAAATTTAGCCTAATCGAACGTAACAAAAACAAAACGTGTTTACGTCTGCTGTCAGTGCTGTCAACCCCCCGCACCTAGCGCCTCTAGCGGTGGAGTTATCTCCCTTCGAACATTGACTAATTGGAGAATTGGTCATGTATACTGTAGCTGCGGCTAACTAGACATACTGCGACTACTAAAATTGCGGTAGGTTTGCTGAATAAGTTTCCAAACATCAGAACAACTTTACTCTATGACAAGGTTTAATGACGATAATATTTCAGAACATCCATCTCATAATATGACAGGTCAATAAGATATAGATCTGATCTGCAGACTCAGAATAACATCATTTTAACATCACATCAGCAAAGACATTCTTCAAGTTCTAAATTATGACATTATAACTTCAATATTGTCTGGTGCATGGAATACACTTACAAGTGTACAAACATAGACATATTAGCTGCAACGAGACAAAAGCAACAATAAGAACACACATCAACATCTAAAATCTTAACTTAATCTGTCGTGGACTAGACTGTCCCTAAAATTTAGGCCTTTTTGCGTACTGTCAAATAATAGACTTCCAACAAAGTTTACATTAATTACTATACACTTCACAGAAACAGCTTAGACGTAAATCATAGTTACATCGATCAATTATCAATACAAATTCGTTTTCATACGAAATAACAGACAGGCAAACTCATCATTTCGTAAATGAATTGCTACTACTATCAATATGGCGGGTATGAAGTAATATGGCTGCCAATTTGCTACATTTGGGCAGCATACAAATATCATTCTAATAAATCTACAAATGTACTTAAATATATGACTTAGCTGGCAAACTAAAGAGAGGCGTTTTATCTATCTTTTCAACATAAATTTAGTTTACATACCAAATTGTGTCCTACCAAAACTGTAAATTTCAATTGGAACTAGACTAGCGTGTTTGCAACATCAAAGGCTTACCAAAGACCTCGTGCGAATAATTACGTAATACGTCATTAGTATCTGCGTACTCGGACTATTCTCTTGAGCTCTATATGCGAGACCTACTGGAGAGGCGTTAATGGTCAACTCCGTTATTGTCATTTTTGTGTGAAGTCTACATTCCGGCCTCCTAATTGACGAAACATAGTGTAGCAATTACAAAAAACCTTAACTAATAACTAATTGACAAAACTAGAGTAGCAATTACAAAGCCTTAACTAATAACTAATTGCAATAACTAATCAAACAATACAGCATTCCAAAGTATTTTAAATATTTACAGTCTTACATACATGCATTTCACTGATTATGATTTTCAATATTATAATACTGAAATTTATTTCACATATCCATATTTATGGACGGAGTATTGTGATTTTAACACAAATTGTGTTCTTATAACTTTTCGTCACATTCTAACACTAAGCACAACTTTGAAATTGGGCGTTGCAATATACCACTTTTGGTTTTAACTGTTGCTATTCTCGATAAACCACCTTTATCAGTAATAACACTTATAACACGAGCCAAGGCCCACGAATTTCTGATATTACTATCAATTACAAGCACAATATCACCTATTTCCACATTTCGTTTTGGATATAACCACTTTTGGCGCTCCTGTAAGCATGGCAAATACTCATGGATCCAACGTTTCCAGAATATGTCAGTTAAATATTGAACTTGACGCCAGCGACGCTTTATGTAACTATCTGCTTTCTCAGTTGCTGATGGTGAATAAGACAAGTTCTTGTATCCTGCGCATAACAGTTGATTAGGAGATAATGCATCCAAATCGTTTGGAGTTTCAGCAACTTTAGTAATCGGTCGATTGTTTAATATGTGCTCAACTTCACACATTAATGTTTGAAGCGACTCATCGTCGAGACGACTAATCTGATCCTTTTGTAGCGAACACAACACTTTGCGAACAATCCGAATTAAACGCTCCCAAACACCACCAAAATGGGAAGCGGCAGGTGGATTAAATTCCCAACGAATTCCTTTCTGAGTGAATTCCTTTGTTAGTTTATCTTTGTTCCATTTATCAATACATAGTTTAAGTTCTCTGTTGGCCCCGACTAAATTTGACCCATTGTCAGAACGGATAAATTTTGGCATAGAACGACGTGCGATAAAACGTCTTATTGCATTGATACACGAGTCAGTGTCCAATGATGATGCAATCTCCAAATGTACTGCTCTACTATTCATACACGTAAAAATAACGCCATAACGCTTGACAACCGATCTTGCGCGTTTGATCTCAAAAGGTCCGAAGTAGTCTATTCCTGTCCTATGGAATGGCGCTTCACCCGATATTAAACGCTCAGCAGGCAAATCAGCCATTTTCTGTTGCAGTTTGGTCGCAGAATATTTACGACATACAACACACTTTGAGATAATCGATTTAATTAAGTTACTTGCACCAATTATCCAGAAAACTTTACGAACTTCTGAAAGTGTAGCGTTTTTACCCAAATGTCCAACGCGAGCATGGGCTTCTCTCACAATCAGTGTTGAAATTATAGAGTTTTTAGGCAATATTATTTGATGCTTTGCATCTAAACACATATCTGCTCTGCGCAATCGTCCACCGATTCGTAAAACACCGTTGGCAACATACGGATCTAATTTTGACACATTTATAGACCTTAAAAGTTTGGCTTTATGTTCTTGATTGTTTTGTTCACAAACTTCGACAATTTCGCCTAAGAACTTTAATTGTTCATGCTTGACAATACATGATTTGGCTTCCTCCAAATTTTCGACAGTCAATGTAAAGCTAGTTAATTTATTTCGACACCATCTGACGCACTGCCTTAATAGCGCTACAGCACGCACAAGACATTTCCAGTTAGAATAATGTTTAACAAGTTTGTCAATTGGACTTTCACGTTCAACAGTTACAGTCACAACACGTTTAATTTCTGAATCGCTGATTTCATCTTGATCCAAATTGTTTGGAATTTTACCACTAGGCCACGTTGATTGATCATCCTGTAGAAAACTTGGACCTTTAAACCAATTATTGTCATTCATAAGAGTCTTAACGCTACAACCACGTGATGCAACATCCGACGGATTTTCTTTCGATGAAATATAGTTCCATTGATCAACAGATGTAGCTTCGCGAATAACTGACACGCGATTAGCCACAAAGGTTTTAAACCTTGTTGCATCGTTTGAAATGTACCTCAGCACAGTTGTGCTGTCTGTCCAAAAATACACTTTGTCAATCCGACACTTGAGTTCATCAATAAGCTTCTTGTTTAACCTGGTCGCAATTGTTGCTGCAGTTAATTCCATACGTGGAATCGAAATCTTCTTCAGGGGTGCTACTCTCGATTTTCCTAAGATTAATGAGCAGTTTATTACGCCATTACTATCGACTAGCCTCAGGTAACTCGATACACCATACCCGGCTTCACTTGCATCGGAAAAATGATGAACCTGAGTTGATACAACATCACAAAATGAAATAGTCTTAACACATCGAGGGATTCTAAGAGTTTGTAATAGTGGTAAATCCAACAACCACTCTGACCATTTCAATGAATATCTTTCACTAATTTTATCGTCCCATCCGTAAGCACTTTGACACAATTCCTGAAGTAATATTTTAGCAGGGAGCAGCGCAGGTGCGGCCAAACCCAAAGGATCGTATACAGCACTAACAATAGATAAGATCCCTCTTCTTGTATAGGGTTTGCTGTTTAAGTTTATTTGAAATGTTAACGAGTCGGACGAAACATCCCATAATAATCCTAAGGCCCTTTCTATAACAGGGTCGTCTTCTAATAACGATATTTGCGACAATTTACCACGTTCAGCTAGCGGAATTGAGCCCTGAACGAATGCACTATTACTTATCCACTTATGAAGGTGAAAGCCTCCTAATTTACAAAGTTTTTTTTTGAGATCCTGTACAAGGCCTACAACCTCATCCTCTGGAAGGTCTGTCGATTTTAATAAGTCGTCGACATAAAAGTCATTTAAAACACTTTGACAAACATAGTCATTAAATCTATGAGAATTGTTGTTTGCAGTACTTTTTAAGGCAAAGTTCGCACAGCTTGGAGAAGACACTGCCCCGAAAAGATGAGCTGTCATTTGATATTGTTTAGGTTCAACAGATAAATTGCCATTAGGCCACCACAAAAATCGTAAACTATGTCTCTGTTTTGGTGGGACCTTTACCTGAAAGAACATTCCTTCAATGTCTGCCATAACTGCTATTTTACCTAATCGAAAACGCAATAAGACACCTAATAAAGTGTTAGTTAAATCTGGACCAGATAATAAGGTGTCATTTAAAGATACACCTCTGTATTTAGCCGAACAATCGTAAACTACACGTAATTTCCCCTTCTGTTTGTGAACTACCGCATGATGGGGTATAAACCATAGTCTGTCATTGTCACAATTAATCTCCTCTTTGGGGACTTCCTCAGCATAAGATTTTTCAAACATGGAATTCATAAAGTTTGTGTAGTCTTCATGAAATTTCTGATTTTTTCTAAACTTTCTCCGTAAAGATTCAAGTCTATCAAGTGCCATATTAAAATTTTTAGGTAACACAACATTATTATCCTTAAAGGGAATATCAATTTGATAATGCCCACTAGAATCAAGAATAATTGAATCACTGACATTATTAATAAAGCGTTCATCTAACACCGAATTTTCCTTCTTATCGTCAATGTTTCGTTCCGGAAAATCTAAATTAATAATAGTCCGAACAAGTCTATCTAAATTTTGAGATTGTTCAATTTCAGCATATAAATTTATACTGTTACTCAAGACACGATTTGCCATTAATTTTGATGATTCATTCTCTTCGCGCATGACATTCCACAATATCCATCCTATTGCAGTCTTAGACGCGTGGGGAGAGCCTTGTGGCCCTATCCTATACTCTTGAGGAGTATAGGCTTCAGCAACATTATTACCTATTAACAAACCAACATCACAGTTTAATTCTGGGATGTCAATATCCTCAAGATGTGGATATTTTGAGATATCACTAACTAAAGGGACATCACTCTTTGTCACAGGAATTTGATCAATAGTATAACAACTCTTAATAATGATAGAATCTGACATATCGTACCTGTAAACTTTGATATTACTTAATATAATAGTAGGCATACTATTAGATTTATTCATAGTTTGTAAATTAACACTAGTTTGTTTACCACTTAGACCTAAGGCATACATTAAAGTATGTGTACAGAAACACACACTGCTCCCAGAATCATTGAAAGCATAAGTTTCAACAATTTTACACCCATTTACAACTTTAACCGGTACTATGGGCATTGTACATGTGCATAGTCAACTCTGCTGTGCAGGACCGGCCTCCATATGAGAACCATCCCTTTCTCCATTTTTGTCATTATGCAATATGGTTGGATGTTTTACATTACATTTCAAACAATCTAATTTATACCAACATCGATAACGTCTATGCCCAGGTTTAAGGCAACCAAAGCAAAGGTCTTCATCACGAATATATTTATAGATTTCATCATAAGAAAGTTTCTTAAGTTTTCCACAATCATTAATGAAATGTTTTTCACCACAAAAGTGACATATGAGTTTCTTATTTACATCTATATGAAAATTCTTAGATCTCTGCCTTTGTGACCCTTGACTAAAGTGTGGTGGCCTGTTAAGCTGAGGGGGTTGTACTGGGGAACAAATTGCCTGCATGGCATCTTTACCATAAATAGGATCTGATAATTTTCTAGATTCTTCACGGATAAACTTAACTAAATCCTCAAAAGATGGAATACAATTAGCACCCTTAACCCTTAAAGCCACATTTCTCCACCGATCTTGAAGATAGTAAGGCAACTTACTGACTAATTGCTTTAAATTCTCAGGATAATCTAAGATTTTTACAGAATTAATGTTTATAACAGCATTTAAACATTCGTCCAATGATTTTGCGTTATCAGATTTGATAGGAGGCCACTTTAATGCCTTATTAACAAAGGCTGAAGCAATAATGTCCGTATCACCATATCGTTCATCAAATTCTCTAAGTGCAGTATTGAAAGCTATCTCGGCATTAAGATAACTGAGTCCAGAGACAATGCGGTGGGGCTGACCATATGTATAATTTTCTAAAATATTAAGCCTGTCTTCAAAATTGTCACAGAATATCAAAACATTGGAACTCAATTGTCTCATAAATCTATTATACTCAATTGGATCGCCTCCAAATTTTTTGACATCAATTTGAGGTCTCTTAAGAGACTGTATAAGATCACGGTTAAAATCATAATTTGAATTAACTTTTGCAATAGACGCTGACTGAATTTCATTGTTTACAAAATTTGGAGTACCATTTAAGTTACTAAGATTGACAATTAATGGCTTATCAGAAGTTTGACAAATGTGTGAAGAGCCCTTTTTTAAAGGTTTACAATCTTTGTTACTAACAAAATTTGAAACACCACTTGAATTACTTAAATTGACATGTAATTGTTTAACATAAGTTTGGCAGGAGCGTGAAGAACCATTTTGTAAAAGTTCACGATCAATAACATTAGCCTTTGCTTCTGCGACAGCCACTTCTGTCACTAGATTTAGTTGTTCTTCGCGTAGTTTTATCTCTAATTTCTCTTTCTCCATTTGCTGTCTCTTTATTAACAATTTCTGTTTTTCTAACAATACTGCCCGTTCTTGCTCTTGTCGAATTTTGATCAATGATATGTCAGTATACCGAGAACTAGATCTTGTAGACTTTCTGCTTCCATGATTACTGGCACTGTCTTCAGGTCTTATCTGAGAGTCGGTTCTTTGGAGCTGAAACCACTCTTCAACATAATTTCGAAACCTTTTGACCTCACTATCGAATATTCGCAAATCAGGACTGCCCAATTTCGTAAATTTAGTTTTATTTACACAGACTTGATACTGTTCATAAAGACTCAACCATTCTTTATACTTTGATCTAACAGTTTCTACATCAATTCCTGTTATTATCAGAAGAGTTATATCTTTGTTTCTAATATTCAGTTTGTTAATCAGAACTTCAACATTAGTATCATTAACATAACTGTTAGTTGAATGACAGGACACATAGCATTCGGACCTGACATTTTGACTAGAGTCTGGCGGAAACACGCGCTCAGGTATTACGTCAATACCTGGACTTAACAAGCACGGACTTAACAAGCTTCCACCAGTACTGTTCCTTGGTAACACACTCTCAGACGTTTCGACAACACCTGGACTTAACAAGAGTGGACTTAACAAGCTACCATGAGGAGAGTTCTTACGAAACACACGCTCAGATACCGTCTTACGGATATCTGGACTTAACAAGCGTGGACTATTTACATCTGAAGAAAACTCACGCAACGACTTCTGGACGAAACCGTGACTTAACATGCGTGGACTTAACAAGTTTTCAGCAGACACACTTCTTCTATAATTCGGATCCATTTTCAAACAAACGGTAGACTGGTTCCAACTGAAATCTGGTAATAATTTGCTAATTAAGTTGTAGCTGCGGCTAACTAGACATACTGCGACTACTAAAATTGCGGTAGGTTTGCTGAATAAGTTTCCAAACATCAGAACAACTTTACTCTATGACAAGGTTTAATGACGATAATATTTCAGAACATCCATCTCATAATATGACAGGTCAATAAGATATAGATCTGATCTGCAGACTCAGAATAACATCATTTTAACATCACATCAGCAAAGACATTCTTCAAGTTCTAAATTATGACATTATAACTTCAATATTGTCTGGTGCATGGAATACACTTACAAGTGTACAAACATAGACATATTAGCTGCAACGAGACAAAAGCAACAATAAGAACACACATCAACATCTAAAATCTTAACTTAATCTGTCGTGGACTAGACTGTCCCTAAAATTTAGGCCTTTTTGCGTACTGTCAAATAATAGACTTCCAACAAAGTTTACATTAATTACTATACACTTCACAGACACAGCTTAGACGTAAATCATAGTTACATCGATCAATTATCAATACAAATTCGTTTTCATACGAAATAACAGACAGGCAAACTCATCATTTCGTAAATGAATTGCTACTACTATCAATATGGCGGGTATGAAGTAATATGGCTGCCAATTTGCTACATTTTGGCAGCATACAAATATCATTCTAATAAATCTACAAATGTACTTAAATATATGACTTAGCTGGCAAACTAAAGAGAGGCGTTTTATCTATCTTTTCAACATAAATTTAGTTTACATACCAAATTGTGTCCTACCAAAACTGTAAATTTCAATTGGAACTAGACTAGCGTGTTTGCAACATCAAAGGCTTACCAAAGACCTCGTGCGAATAATTACGTAATACGTCATTAGTATCTGCGTACTCGGACTATTCTCTTGAGCTCTATATGCGAGACCTACTGGAGAGGCGTTAATGGTCAACTCCGTTATTGTCATTTTTGTGTGAAGTCTACATATACTCAGCCAAATTAAAAACTTGACACTCGGGATTTTTGGGACTTGATTTTTAATATTTGGTTTAAGGCAACTATTTTAGTGTTATGTTGTGCAAAGACGACCTTGACATCAACAGGAAGCAAGAATACGTCTCGCCGAAAGTCCTTGACATTGATAACGTTCGTGATGTCACAGTACCCCCCAAAATGAAATTCACAGACTTGGAGAACAATCGGAATAAAGTGTTTAGTAACGGTTGTGGCCTCCTCCAGCGTCTCGTACTGCCACACAACGTCTTCTCGTGGATCTCAGAACATTAGTAAACACTACCCGAGGAAGACGTCGCCACTGCTCAGCAAGAGCATGTTGAAGGTCCTGCAACGTTAGTGGTGGATTCACTTGTGACGTCACTCCAGGAAGATCAAGCAATACGATTACGTCAACTTAGAAACAGATTTGTCACTGCAACCTCCACAAGTAGAGAGATGTTTGGTGGAAGGGTAGCTTCACAAACTGTTCGAAATCGCTTGCAGGCTGCTGGTCTTCGAGCTCGGAGGCCCTATAATGGACCAATATTGACACCTCTTCATCGCCGTAACCAACTTGTGTGGGCCACACAAAAAGACAACTACAAATTCATTTTATAATGAAATAAGTTGATCAGTCTAAAAGTCATATTTATAATTCTAAAGTAATTTAATTATGGATATAAGTATGAATGTAATTGCCATATTAATCTTACCTTCAGTTTGAGTATTAACTTGTAAACAGAAACTTGCTGTAGATGGTGGGTTTGTTGTGGAATCTCTGGAAAATCTAAGGCTATAAATTTCGTTTAATCTCCAAATACTAGTTACTCCACTAAACCCTGAGCAGGAAATATTGTATGTATTTGTAGCCACCACCACCACAAGCTCGATTAACAAAATCTAAATGTCTTCATTTCATGAGATACTGGTGGTATTTGTTACGTCTACTAACAGAGCTTCACACAAACAACCTGTACCAATACTACCATTAACAGGTATAAACATCTGATTGGTTGGTATGGTAACATTACTACATACTGGTACTGTAAAATAAAATAATAAACAGTCCAGGTCAACAATAAATGTCAAAATATATTCCCTTAGGTTTACCGCCTTATTCAAATGAATAAGCAACCTGGATCAATTTAAACATTAAATAAATGGTAATGTTTATGGACTTGTAAATTAACCTTTTCCGTTAAGTAAAACGCAAGCATTAAACTTGTTTATCTTATAAGAGTTTGTTCTTCAGTGGATAATAGGAAATGAAATGAAATGGAGTTTAACGTCCTACTGTTCTGCTCCTAACCTGGGCTAATGAAGACGGGCATACGCCATACAGTGTGCTATGAGGGAAATTTTGCCCGGACAGCGGCACTACGGCCTACTCTTATATCGAATTCCCACTGCCAAGGGATCTTTTACGTGCACGCCAATGTGTACACGGGACCTCGGTTTTTCGTCCCATCCGAACGACTAGACAGCTTTCCTTGTCAGCCCCTCCGTCCTGCATCACTGACAAGGGAGAACCACGCCGGAAAATCTGGATGAACTTTCTCGGCCAATGCAGGGATCGAACACCCGACCTCCAGGCTAGCGTCTTACCCACTTAGCCACGTGATCCCCAGAGTGGATAATAGGGGAGTTAAAGATCGGCCGTGTAAGGGTAACACACGAGTATTGGCGCCAAACCCATAACTGGTGGGTAGACGTTATGGATCACACGCAGCTTATCAATTTCTTTTAAAATTATTTAATTTTGTACACTGTTACACTTATTCAATCAATAGGTTTCTGGACGCGGTTCTGTGTATAAAAACGGTATACAGCAACATTGTCCTTTAAAATGATTTGGTAGACAATACATGACCACACCATATAAATAAGACATGTAGAAGCCAAGAGATAAATTGTATAGAATATCTTACCTATATTTGGACCATTGATGCATTCATCTGTCATTCCTGTAATAACAAAATGTATAACACAATTCCTGGAATAGTAAAAGACTACGTTTATCTAGCGCTTTCTTTTTCTGTTTTGGTCACAAAATGGTGTAGCGGTTTGGTAGTGCGGAATTCTGCTGCAATTGCTGCCCAGGGCCCACATCCCAGTAATTGCTCTGCCATCAGTGATCTATTAGTCGATTACAAGCCGTTTTAAGTAGAGCTTCTTCAGAGGAGAGGGCGGACTAGCTAAAAAGTAGCTAAACAAACCAAACACTGATGAGATAAATGTGACTAGACGTATATGAATGAATTCAATATGTTCGGTAGGTCTTCTCATACGATGGTGTGGTTGTAGTGTTTGTACATAACCAACCATGCCTACTCGTTCCAACTTTATTACTGAGTATCATTATTTTTCATTTAGGAAATCCAAGTATTCATAGGGGTACGTGCTCGATGAATGTTAGGGGGACAGAACCCGATGTGCCCGAAAACAATTCGGGTTACAGACAGTGCCGGTCGTCTGTGGAGCTTACCGTATAGGACCCCTCCCCCCCCCCCCCCGCGAAAAAAAATTGGAAAGTTTGACGGCCGCAAACGCGTTAACATCTGATATTTATATGTAACTATTGTAACTCCATACTGGTTTGCTCGAATAAAATGAATAGTCAGACTCTTTATGCTCCTTAAAGCCGTCACATGTGTAAAAATATATATTTGAGTAACGTCCTTGTTGAATAAGTCGGCTAATAATAATACATGATATAAAGAAGACAGTGTGTGAAATTGTGTACATATGTATAACATCAACGATAAATAAAACCATTATTAAATTGTACATTTGGATTATGACGTGACTTTTAAATTTTTTAATAACCAGACGCCTTTTATGAAGGGTGTTTCACGTTTCACTGGACATATTACATAAATTTATACATAAAATGGTCCCGTGATGCATAGGCGTACTAGCTCGATCGATGTTTGAAAATTTAACGGCCGGAAATGCGTTTTCCTGCTATTCCAGCCCGTGAATACGGCAACACTAAGACGTTAAACATCATTTCAATTCGTTTTTGTTTTTACTAAATATGTCAACTTGTCTATAATATCATGTGTTACATTTGTAATAAACAACAAAAACAGCAACACTTGGATTGAGTATTATCCCATTAGACAACAGATGTTGGTTAAAGATGAGTTCCCGCGTACAAACTGTTTGATTTAATGGTATATATGGACCAAAAACATATTCAAACTAATTAATTTCTCATAATTATGCTTCAAATCCTTCTCAAACATTGTAATTGCGAAGGAATGCCCTGCTATTAAAATTCGATCAAACCAGGTCATGTTTACGTCACGTCTTGGGAGTCAGAGGAGAATTCATTGCATACATAAGACGATGTTGTCTTTAATCGCTTACTATTTATTACAAATATCGAATCCTAATTAAATTCTCGCATTATCCACTACCCGCGTCTTTTTCCGTCATTTTTATCTCAGAAAGTATTGTACGTCTAACTCTTCATAAAGTTTATCAACTTGTACATCAAGCGCTCAATGTTCGCTTGTGACCTTTGACATCGTGCGTGCAGAAGGTCATAATCGTCGGGCTGTTGATTAGGGGAACCCTTACATTTTTGTCCTGTATACGCTCCATGAGTGTTTTTCGGGGAATCCAGTGTTTTTCGGGGAATCCAGTATTTTTCTAGTAAGATTGGATATCTCTACTTTCCATATATACCAAAATTGCCATACTTTTATTGGAAATAACCACCCGATAAATACTTTTCTGGGAACCCATCTTTAAGAGAAAACCTTTGGGGTGGGGTGGGGGTATTTCGGTTTCCGATTTTTCACGGTAGCTACTGTGGCTGAGGTGGGGCTGTATCGTATTAACGGCGAGGCTAACAGTCGAGTGCAAAATATTTTTCAACACCCACCGAATATAAAGATGGTTATTTCTGGACCAACACACGGTGTACCCCCTTTTTAACTATTCGCCAACACGCAGAAAACTCAATGAGTTTAACCAGGACAATATACCTATCAAGATACGGGTGTCACGGTGGATAAGTGGGTAAGGCACTGGCTCGCTAGTTTCGAGGTCGGATGTTCGATCCCTGCATTGGCCGAGAAAGTTCATCGAGATTTTCCGGCGTGGTTCCCCCTGGTCAGTGATGCAGGACGGAGGGTCTGACAAGGACCGAAGTCCCGTGTACACATTGGGGTGCAAGTAAATGATCCCTTGACAGCTGGAATTCGATATAAGAGTAGGCCGCTGTCCGGGTAAAATTTCCCTAATAGTACAATGTATGGCGTATGCCCGTCTTCATAAGCCCAATTCGGATCAGAACGGTAGGATGTTAAACCCCATTTCATTTCATTTCATTTTCTATCAATATACAGACACAGGATCAAAATAACAACGCTTGATGATCCATAACATAGATGTTCGACCATTCCTTAGACACTAAACATCCTTAATGTCAAAAGAACCATGGCCAATGGTAATTGACAGATAAAGAGTTGGTATTGTCCGAGCAACGAATATCCAACCCCACCCCCTTAGCGTTAAAACATCATTGAAGTATTTTGTTGATTATGTCATTCTCATCCGCCCCTAGCCCTTGGTTCTTCTTGCTTATTTTACTTTGACGTTGTAAACATGGAGTAAAACGTTAAGATTTAAAAAAAGTATGTAGAGCGCACCAAGCCTGTATTTCATTAAATATTGCTAAATTTCATTAATCAGCTTCAATACGGAATGCTAAAATGGTACAAATATTTTTTTTTGCCGTGTGAACTATTCATTACAAGGCAAAACCTCCGCCAAAAGATGATTCTCGTTACTGCGGTTGAGCGGGATAGTGTTGAGTGACCATTTGGGTTGCCAAGGTGAGTGATCTGTCAACAAGGTCCCCGTTGATGAAGCTTTTTTCTTATTCGTGGGGGTTGGATGGCCGAATGGTTAGCACGTGCGCGCTGTATCATAAGGTCTATCATTGTGTCAACTGGTGTGGTTTCGATTCCACAGCTGTACGTTGGTCTTCTCCGGGTCCTCTGGTTTCCTCCCACTTCTAAAGACCCCTACGCGCAAGCGAAGTATTGAAATAAAATTGAACCATGTGTTAATCCCGAAAAGACCTAGTTTGTGTCGAGTGCACGTTAAACCCCATTCCTCTCTTTATCTCTTTTCTCATTCGATAACTACCAACAATATGTTCTGGTGGTCCACACTTTGCAGACTCCAATTGTAAACAATGACACGATGACCAATTCAGATAATTTATTCAAGAAACCCCGAGAGAATAGATACACATCTATATCAAAAAAATAAGATAAAATACAGCAAACCATACTGAATAATTTATATAGACAACAGTTTAAATTAAATCATGCTCGGTCTTTCATTTGGCACTTGCACAGTAGACGTTATCAAGTACGAGGTAGACTATGCTTTCATGTACACCTGATACTACCTGAGAGTGTTTGCACCTGGCGACTCCTGTTGATGTGATTATTTTGTATTTTAACTTCTAGACCGGATCATCAGATTCTACATCATTTTGATCAATTAAGATAATTTTAATACATCTTCCAATCCCGATTTCTTCTTCCAAATAAATTAAATAATTCTTTGATAAATTTAATCTAATAATTCACACACCCATATAAGGACAATTTAACAAACACAGTTAACCATACATCGAATTAAACCAATCCCATTTTCAAAAAAAAAAAAAAAAAATTAATCAATAAAAGATGATAAATTGGAAAAAAGTGAATCTAATAATTTACACACCCACACACATAAATAATTGACCCATTTAGTTAAAATTAAACCAATCAAAATGAAATTAGGGTAATATAGAAAGGAGAAAAGAAGAAAAAAAAACTGGCACCTAACAACAAACGAAATTGATGGATACAATGTTTTATCAGTATTCTTTAGGCATTCAATCTAAAAATAGAAGAAAAATTTACACCATTTGATAAACTGGTATATTAAAATCTAGCCCGTGAAGATGTATTATTTTCTGTTATCATGTTTAGTTTCTGTGGACTCCAGGATCTTTTGTCCCAGTTCAATTTATTCTAATTAGGTCATTTACAGTAAAGAAATGAAATGAAACTGGGTCCTACTTTTCTGCACCGAATGGGCTAATGAAGACGGGCATACCGATATAGTGTGCTATGAGAACTATTTTGCGCTACAGCCCAATTTTAAATCGAACTGTCCATGGATCTTTTACGTGCAATCATGTGTGCACACACGACCGTGGATTTTCGTGTCATCCGACCGACTAGACACTGCCCTTGGCAAGCCCTCCGTCCTGCAACACTGACACGGGGAAATCATGCCGGACAATCCCGAGGAACATTATCAGTTAACACCGGGAGGGTGGGAGTGGGGGGGGGGAGTAGACGCCCTGGTTAACGAGCCGGCGTCTCACTCACTGAGACTAAGACAATACCTATAAGCCAATGACAATAAAATGGAAATGCATATATTCAAAGAAAGTTAATCCAATTTGTAGCTAATTGAAATGGTCGTGGATGCCAATTGTATGAAATTGGTGCTGGTGAAGGAGAGCGATATAATGTTGCGTTTAAAATTGATGCCAACTGTTAGTTCAAAAGTCTAGAGTGAAACCAATAATCCTACATCGTTACCGTTTAGCGTAAACCATATATTTTATGACTCTTAATAGTTTACTTGTTTCAGTTAGAAATTTTTAAAGAAGTACAAGTTGACACTCGCGGTCTTTTTGTGAGTGAACTTACCAAGGTACGTATACGTTAACTTGAAACCTGTGCATCCGGCACCGTTACCGTTTGTAACAAGTCGTATATAGATCGCTATCACGTCAGATGATAATTCAATCGTTCCAGGAGACCTCCCGCCACAAAATCTGAAATAAGACATATTGCTGGTACTTGTATTATATCCCTGCTATTCAGTACCGGATTTAAATAAAGAGATGTCATAGACTATTCCTCCAAATGACCCACCTTGACGACGAGAGGAGGATGGAAGTTAGTTTTAACCGCAAATAAGCAAAGCTGGGGATGATGACAGTGCGTGTAAGAAGAGCTTGCTTATAACAGTGTCAAAAAATATTATACATCCTAAGGCTTTTTACTAGACTTCAGCCTGCCAAGTCAAAACGTTAATCCGGCACTGCTGATTACATCCAAAAGGCAAATCCGGCACTGCTGATTACATCCAAAGGGCAAATCCGGCACTGCCGATTACATCCAAAGGGCAAATCTGGCACTGCTGATTACATCCAAAAAGCAACTCCGGCACTGCTGATTACACCCAAAACAATGCTGGGTTGGCGTGGAGCCGAATGCTTAAACACGTGTGCCGTAGTCGTGGAGTCGCATATTTTCATTGGATCCTCCTGTTTCCCCGCCCCTCCCAGCTAAATATCCCGACGCACAAGCACATTATTGAATTAAATTTTAACCATATTATATAATTCCCAAACTGAACTAGTTTGTACCGAGTGATTGCTTATTGCTGTTCGATATTGAATTGGTCATGTTTGTCCCGTGTGATTCATCGCACCAATTAATTCAGGCGATACGTTTCAAGTCAGTAGCTTGAAGCGTATATATGGTATTAGTGTCAGTGGCCTGTGGCACGAAGTAACAGTATATTGTCGCATACATAATATATTATGTCAACGCTTGGGCGATATAATATATTATGTCAACGCTTGAAACTAGGATGGAGGTGACTAGGCATGAACTTGCAACGATAGATTTAATTGGCGCTTTGATAACCAATGAATGCTTTGGAGACATATTTTGGCGGTATTTTCCATCATGGAATCGGTAAGTTTCGATTGTTTTTTTCTTTTCTGTTTTTTCTCTCTTTTCTGTGTCCTAACCCTAACCCTAACCCTAATCCGAAAGAAAAGTGCCCTTTTTTGAAATTCTGACATCACAGGTGCCCTTTTTCTGATAAGGATGCCCTCTTTTATTTACAGGGACACTTTCTATTGTTAAGGGGGTGGACCGGTCCCCATGGTCCAACCCCTGGATCCGCTGTGATGACGCGTACATTCCACTGAGTCTACAGGTCTAATATGCTAACACGCTTGGAGCGTCAACACAATATATTATGTCGCCCAAGCGTTGACATAATATATTATGTATGCGACAATATACTGTTACTTCGTGCCACAAGCCACTGACACTAATACCATATATACGCTTCAAGCTACTGACTTGAAACGTGCAGGGTGATTAATTCATGGTTATAACGAGACCCACCAAAGTACAATAATAATACATACATACATACATACATACATACATACGAACTAACTCACGTAGACTGGCTAATAGACGTTGGATAATAAAAAACTGTTATTTCATGATTATCGTTACAGCCGCCAGAACCGAGTGGGGTACATTGTGGACGACCAGATGTTATATTTTGGTAGTCTATTCCGAAATTATCATCGTACACAACACGGATCTGTTTACCATTACATCCCGGAATAGTCCAATTGGTAGAAGACGGGCTATCGTCTGGGTAATTATTAGGGTAGTTAGGTGATGTTATAATATTGTCTATAACTAAAACAAAGAGATTACTATGTTATGTATGAATATAACACCTTGATAAGATATCGTAGCGATATAAGTATCCAGTGTACTTTCAAATTAACAAAATTATTTGTTCACGTGGGATGGATCTTATACATTTATTAAATTAATGAATTATTTGTACACATGGGGTGGCGCTAATAAATTTATTAAATTAACGAATTCTGTTATACATGCTGATCTACTAACCTTCACACGTTCTTCCGGTGATGCGACCCAAACAATCACACTTGAACCCACCTTGAATACGCATACAACGTCCACAATTCTGGCATGGATTCGGCTCACACGCATCAGCTATCAATAAATAATGTTTTGTATTTCCAGGGCTGGCATGTTTGGTTGTACACTCCTGTTTGCAGGGCCGAACTTACAATAGTCATTTTAAGGTCAAAGTACGGGGCATCCGCCCCGTTCTGAAAATGTTCCCCCTGCCCCCCCCCCCCCCCAACCCTTAGTGAAGCTAAAATCTTCAAAGTGCGGAGGCATGATTGGTAGGTTCTTTCTCGAGTAGCGAGATCTTCTCTCTCAAAATAGCTCAGAATGGTCATTTAGACGGGTTAAGTTTTGACGACCGTTTGTCTATAGACGACCTACAAATCTAAGAATATACATCCATTTCTATGGAGTTTTACAACTCAATACCTCAAATCAAATCTGATCGTTTCGTTTGTGTTTATACAGCCGCCCTTTGATCAAACCGACACTTTGCCTACCACAACACATATATTACAGTAATATTTGAAATATTTAGCTTACTCTCACAATAAGTTCCTATAAATCCATCCTCACATTTACAGGACACTCCACCAGCCTCAGGTACACAAGTTCCATTATTTTTGCAAGGTTCAGCGGCACACAGATCAACTAAAAGTATATCAATGTAATCCTAACTGTTTTATTGTCGAATAACGTGCTGGCTCGTTATTCGCGAATCTCAAATAATGAGGCAGCACGTTATTCGGGATTAGGTTACAACGCAGGTGAGTGCGACAGAGGACTGCCCGGTGAAGGCCAACAAACCAGTCAACGTCTTACTTGGGTGGCAAATGTCTCCAAGATTGTCAACTACCCAACGTTCAATCACCCCTACAGTAAGAGGTAGCAAGAAAATTGCCGGGTGCATGATAGGTTGATATGTTCTACTGGCGAATAACGAATTGGTACGATATTCGTTATTCGAATCTTGAACAACTTGCTGGCTCGTTATTCGCGAATCCCGAATTGGTACATTATTCGCGATTCGACAAAAACGAAGATGAGTGCAATAGAGCACTGCCTCGTGCACGTCATCAAACCAGTCAACACCCTAAAACGGTCGTCTCCTTGCTAGTCGACCACCAACCGTTCACTTACCCCTACGTTCGGAGGCCGTTAGGAAATGGTCGGATACAAGATAAGCCGGTCTGTTTTACTACTAGCTCGTTATTTGGGATACTATCTTTTACCTGCAAGCACGTAAAGGGTAATTGTCAAATGTGTAGACAACGTGAAGTTGGCATGTTATTCGGGATTCACATGCGTTATTATTGAACACCAATAACGTAAATCTAAATACAAATAAATAATTAAAACAGAAAATTCAAAATGTCATCAGACCATCACTTAACGTAGGACGAACTTTAGCAAAAATGGGGAAAAGACAAATATTGCTATTAATCTTACCACCACAATCTGCTCCTGAAAAGCCACGGGGACAATTACAAATACCATTGACACATACTCCATTGTTGAGACATTCAACATCATCACAGGTGTCTAGACAAAATGTTAATGATAATATAATTAACAAAATAAATGTTAAGTAAAAAGTAATAGACACATGAGTTGTGCTGATTAAACCTGGGTATATGGCAATAAGAAAAAGAAGCGGAAACTTATGGCACCTCGATTTTCGAAATGGCAATTTTCCAACATAACGATCACAAACATTTCTTTCTTTACCCTTTGAAACCCGTCAAAAATCATGCTTTGTGCAGAGTTGAATCTTAGAGAAATATGTCTGTAAATTTAAAAATGGTTTGTATAAGGCAATTACCTGAACTATTTAACTATCAAATTAAAGGAGTATGTGAAAACTCTCTCCCAGAAAAATATAATTATTTTGAATAATTTCATATTGAAAATAACCCATTCCTCCCCAAATAAGAGCAAATTATACCTGGTAAAACAAATAATTTTACCTAGGCATCTTGTGTTACAATTAAAACTCCCGAGATTTACGTACTGCGTATAATTAATTACCTTTACAACAGTGGCATAGGCCCGCTCTTTTAATTCTGTCACAGCTCATCCTTTCAAGGTTAAAGGCTGGCCTTCTCCTCGAATACCTTCTTTTGTGTGAATGACCAGTAGAAACGGTTGCAACAAAGGCAGCAACAAGAACAGCAACTAACAAACCACGCATAATGATTTTAACGCGAAGCTAAGCGTATGTGACGAATTCTGGTTGAGTTATGATGCTCGTTATGAGTATGCGTTTTTTTAAAGGCCGTGAAATGGCAACAGCCGTTGTTTATGTGTCCTCAGTTATCTGGATATAGATCGTCAGCAACGTAAGTATGGGCGTAACTTTAATAGTTTGGATAAAATACGGAAGTAAGGAAAGTTTTGTGTGAAATAACGCAAAAAGTAACGCAAAACCCGAATATTTGCGAAATCAGCCATTAGGAGCTAGACCCTTTGTCCCTTCCTCTCCGGAATCTTTGGTTTGAAATGTTGGGGTCATAAGAATATGACATCTGTTATTATTTAGCACACAATGGCCTTCAGTACCGTGGTTTGCCCGCCTTTCTTCACTGTTCGGGCTAAACGTCAGCTTCCACCTAAGGTGATGTCGCAGACAAGTGTTTCTTGGAAAACTTGCGAGAGGAGGCAAGTAAGGTGCTCGTCTTGCATAGGTTGGAGACGGGTAAGCGACTAAGGGACCTAATCAATTCCATTTCATAAGATAAAAGCACAAATACCTTTTCGGTAGCAGCGTCCTCGTTATCCGTTATTTTCCGAAAATCTTGTTAAATATATTTTTTGTGTGAAGCATTGGGACTGCGAGGAGAATAGCCATATTGGTTTTCAAATGTGTTGTGGAGCATTGGAATCATGGATTGGGACTTTCTTGTATAAAAATGTGTGCGAAAAAGCTTGTGAACACCATATAGTTTTTCCTTTTAAATAAGCTGCAGTTGGGACATAACTGCTATGTGGGCGTGTTTTTACGTTTTGTGTGGCTATCGTTTAACTACTGTAACTTCGCAGGAAACTCCAGGGGCAGAGGGGTTACATTTCAGATGTCCATCAACAGCGGTAAAAGCTGATGTAATAAATTGCCAAAGATAACATTAATAGAAATACCCAATAATTTTAATACTTTATTCCCTTTTGATTTTTATAATATTTAATTGTATATCCATTTGATATACAGGTTGTAGATGTATAACTAGTTATATTATAACTCTATGATATGCATACTAGGTTTGGCTGAAAAGTTCTAAATCTGAAAAGGGTAGATCAATTGTGTTAAACAAACTTTGACCACCCACAAGTCCAATCATTGAATGCATCATAGACATAAGAACTGAAACTGCAGGGTTATTATTGTCTTTGTACTTAGACGATCTTGTGAACCTACCCATTGAAATCACCAGAAATTGGTAAAACTGGCTATAGGGCAGTCTTCAAGTACCAGCAACTGAGACGACTTATCCCCAACACAGATACATGCCGACATAGTCTCCACTTTAGGTGGTGATGCCCCTTCCTTAATTATCCACAGTAAGGAAGTTGGCTGCGGAATTTAAGCGTGGCAAAGAGAGCCTTGGCGATGACGGTGCATGAAATGGTGATGGCTGATCGACGATTCCCCGCTCGGTATAGTGCCAGTGTTGTGGACATCTCTCATGAGAGGCTTGAGAACATTATCGCCAACGAGTTAGGGGATGGCAACAGTTTATGCAACATAGATGCCAAAGCTCTTGATTGCGGATCAGAAACTTGTCACGTCAGATTCCCGGCGTTCCGTGACAATCTGCGCCGTTTTGATGCAGATCCTGATGATTTTTTGTCAACATTGGTAACCATGGATGAGACCCGTTTCCAAACATGATGACGTCCTTTAAGCTGTGAACGACATTTGTTTATAGTGGCCGAGGAAAATGTCTTCTTGACCGAACCCCAGGCCTTGCAACATCGTTGACAAAACTGTGTACTCATGATCAATCTAAATCCAAAAGAATTAGAGGTTAAAAAAGCAATGCCCGGTGAATCAGATGTTGATTTAGACAAACAAAGCAGTAAACATAACACGGAAGTAAAGGTAATATTTATTTTATACGTTAAAGTACACGGTATACTATGTCACTTCACACATTTTTTTTATCCAAATAAAGCAATAATCACGCAAGTAAAAGTATGATTTATTTCAATAATGAAATGTTAACTCAAAGTAAACAACATCTGTCACCTCGCAAATTTTATACTTTTAAAGCAGTGTATCAAGCACACTAAATTGTTATTATCGATGCTGAAAAAATATTTTACAATATTTCAGGGGCGGATCCAGGGAGCGGGGGGGGGGGTCCAAACCCTACCCTGCTCAGCTTTAAAAAAAATTGAATGCCTTGCATCAATGAAATTTAATCACAATGGTGATCCCATATCATTATAATAATTGATGCCAAACGGGGTGTTAGATTTCTCTCTTTAAAAAGCTCAATGTGTATGTATGCCTACGTAATTTAGAGACGATGATGACATCATGCATTGTCATCTGTCAGATTTTCTTAACAAGAGCCTAGCTGCCCCCTCCTGCAAAGATTCCTGGATCCGCCCCCTGCATTTGTTGGTATTTCAACCAATATTCTACGGTTTTATCAACATGTTGAGGCTTCCGTTGAAACTATAATGAGGCTTCCTTATACAATTATAATCTATTTTAAAACACTGAAATATTTATCTTTTATTGCTTCTGTTAATACCAACATTTCAAGTTTTACAAAAAATGTTATTATTTATAAAAGTTTTAGTACGTGGGGGGGGGGGGGGGAGTTTTACATATGGCTGTTTCCACGGTGATTTTCATATGAGTCGTTCTGGTATAAACAGTAATTTCTTGTCTGCGATATCAGTTAGGTGGAAGCAGACGTCAAGCAAAGCTATTTCACACACACACAGCGTTGTTATTTAATATACGGGCTCAATCAGGTATCACCAAACTACGTTACTTAACACCTATATAGGTCAACGTTTTCAAGCATTCTGATCAATCAACATTGACAAAAGATGACAATATTTCAAACTAGTGAACGAATATTTCCCATACACAACGTTAGTAATTAATTAATGGTCTAATCAGGTATCACAAACCGCAGTTGTTACTTTTAAGTAACAACTGCGGTAACACCTATATGAACTATTTAAATGTTCACATCACATCCCAAGGGCTAGTTTCTTCTGCTGTATTAACGTTATTGTTTTTTTTGTTGTTTTTTTTTAAAATATACTCTTCAAAGTAGGGGATATTGAAATGCAAATACCTATGCAGGTTGTGGTATGATAAATAGTCATGGACTCTTGACATGCTTTGAGAGTATGTTCATAGATGAAGAAATTATTGCCCAACAGAACCACGGAGCTGCATGTGCGACACGCAATAGCGCCATGCACATGTGAGGGGTTCATTTTCAAATTTGACATTTCAAGGAAGGGTTGATGAAAACTGCCGCTTGCTGGTTTATCCTAGCCATGTTTGCTTTCCTATCGGTTCTTGCATAAGATTTACTGTTTAGCGTATCTCTGCTTTGCTTTAGTGTGTCACATTTAATTTGATCGGAAGACTTGTTCGCCGACGTCAACGTCAACCGACAACACCGCAAGAATTGACCGTAGCACTGCAAGAGGAGTGGGTCAGATTAGTTCATTGGAAGCATACCACGACGAAATGCTGAATGTCTGAGGATTGGTGGAGCAATTACTCATTATTGAGACAAAAATCCAAAACATTGATTTTCACTTTTGACAGTGTATCTCTTTGCGATTGAAATGGGACCGTCAGATAAGCCGGGACCGTCATATGAATTGTTTATGTTCATGTGTAGGCAATTGGCCTGTTATTAACATACACCGGTTATATCTGATAAAAACAGCAGTGCATATCCGCAATGTTGTATTGTTTCTGAATATCCCCTACTTTTTTAAAAGTATATATTCAAAAAGAATATGTCTTTTACAAATTTGAATATAACCTCAAATAAATGATTATTTTGATACACACAGTCATACACGATGCTAAGATGGGTATTAATGGTTTGTATATGAAAAATAAATTATAAAAGTGAAGAATATTAAGGTACATCTTAAACAACACCTTTAGTTACTGCTTCAGAGAAGATCATTTGATAATTTAGGCGATCAGCCCTGAACACTGTTTTTGCTTTGTTATCATACTTGAATGAATGGGATGGAGCTGAGTGTACTTAATTAGGGGATTGGATTGGAGGTTTATAGCTACCACCTTATGCAGAGTTAATGTATGGTGCATTTATGGTCTTATAACGCTCTATTCGTACATATAGTAATTAAATGCTAAGGGTATTTCACCAATATGTTAGTCCCAAAATATCTTCTCTCTCATCCCATCTCTATTGTCCTCCATCTCTCCTCTCTTTCACCCACCCCCCTTTTAAGTGTTAGGTGAACTTCAGACTCCCCTCGCTCTTTTATTATGTCTATTTCTCCCCCCCCCCTCCTCCTTCCTAACTGTTCCTCTTTTTTCCTCTTGATTCTATCTTCTCTTTATCTATTTTCATATGTCTATCTCTCTACACACACCCCCCACCCAACCACGCCGTTCTCCCTTCATCCCAGATAAACTACTTTTAAAGCCAAAACTGTTCAACGGGTTTTCAAGCCCCTGTGTAATGGAATAAGCTAACTTGAAGTTTAATAGTAAGTGTAGGGGGACTGCACCACACATAATTTACACAAAAACAAATATATGGATAAGACATAATACGCAGAAATCACAAACAAACGCACAATTCAAGTAAAGTGAATGGATCCGGGGGCTAGCCGAAAGCATCCACTGCGCTGTGTAGTCCCGGGCCTGTAGTGACACAAGACTTCACTCAAATTTGAAAACAATCAGGAATAAAACCCCGAGATACCATTGTGTAATGCCAAAACAATTGAAACAATTAGTCTTTAACGGACTCAATGTATAGAACATCTAATATGTTACATAATCACCATGTAAAGTGTCCGTGGACACTTGGTGTGAAAAGGTGCTTTCATTCTCTTTGATTGTGTTTACGTCCACGTTGAATCATACTGGTGAAATTGTCCATCGGACCTGGATGAGCTAAGCCTAATGCAATCAATATTGCTACATAAACTTATTGATTATTTGAAAATATCAAACTGAACTTAATATAAAGTTTTACATGTATTTTGTTAAATTAACACAACAATATGTTA